GTCATTGACAAATACATAGGACATAAAAGTTTTACAGGAACAAAGTTTGCGTCAACTAATGTCAACGTTATACTTGCCAATGTGTTTGAGTTCACTAAGGTTGAAAATTCTGCATTCGAATGAACAATAGGCAAACCAGCAGAGAAAGTATTGTTTATACGCATAAGTATCTTTTGGTCATAATAGTTTCTGTCGACATTCGAATAACACTTTGAACCTAAGTTTGAAACAATATATAAGATTGGTGTGCTTAATGTCAATGGAATAGACATTCCTTGTATGACACCTTTTCCTGTTATAGGAAACTGTTGGTAGTAAAAACCAGAAATAAGTTTTGTATTATAGCTCATATTGTTTATAGTAAACTCAGTCGGACATCCAAACATAATGAAACCTGCTCTAGTTGCAGCACATGTTACACCCGTCCTTAAAGTATTAAATAAGTCAACAAAACCTGTTGGTGGTATATCTGAGTAAGTATCTTCAAAGGAGTATTTTTTACCATTCACAACAATAAAGTCTTCTGGTGTCAAAAGAGCAAAACAGGCTTTAGTCGTCATTGTGTTTAAAGTTAGTTTACAATATCGTCCTTGAGGACTTTGTAAGTTTGTTGTTATAGAATTATATGACTCAGGGTTTTTAGTCGTAATAGTATAAACCATTATATCTTCTGCCATTTATATATATTTAAAAGTTTTTCTGAAAGTGGAGAAGAACTTCATCTAAACTTTCACATGGCGTTTCTTGAAGTTCTCTGTCTAAGAAGTTCAAATATTTTGTAAAGACATAGAACTTTCCTTTGTCTACACGAACAAACAAAACAGGGTCTTTCATATCGTTCAAAAGTGTGTAAAGTCCTTTACATGAAATAAAGTCTATATTATTTTTCTTCAAACATCTTTCAAGAAGTTTTGACATTTTTACTTAGCAAATAAATTTTAATGAAATGTTGTGGTCGTCAAATATTTTTATGACGTCTGGGAAACTATACTTTAAGTTCAACGTTTCACCTCCTTTCATAACGTATATCTTGTCAATGACATTATATGAAACACCACAGCAACTAATGTCGGGTTCTATTTCTTTGATGTTTATATCGTCTGCCTCTGTCAAAAGTTTCAATAGTTCTTTCAAAACTTCATGAGGTGCAATGACATATGAGTTCACTTTTACAGGGTTGTGTTCGACCAAGTTTAACATTATACTTAAAGCTTGACAAATCTTCTCCTGAGTTTGAAGTTTGTCTTTCAGTTGTTGGTAGTCATTTCGAATATCTGCAACAGAACTTAAGTCTCTGCTAACTTCAGGATATGTTGGTTGTTCTTTTACAGGAACAATTGCTATACCATCTTCGTCTTCGTATGGTTTCCCCACTTCAACATCTCTGTCTTTGACATTGACAATAACACTTTGACTGTTTGTTTGAGTTGGTGAATTTAACTTCACATCTGCCACCGCCATTAAACCTTTTGAAACACTCACGCTTCTATTTTTCGGAAATGACATTTTACTTAGAATAAAAAGATGGACGTATTCGAGTATCTCTTCGAATTGAAGCAGAACAAAGTTTACACACACAAACAATACAAATACATTGACAGAATAGTTCTTTATACAAACAATGGTAAATGTTATAGAATAGCAATATTTGCTGAACCAAAATATTTCCATAAAGCAAAGAAAGTTGGTATAACTGAAATGGTGAAAGTTCTTGAAGCAGACAAAAATATAACTTCAAAACTTACAGATATTTCTAAAGGTAAGTTTATCTTACAATATTATGTCAAAACTGGCGTACTGTCAATATTTGACGGAGAGAAGTCAGTTCAAGAACAACTTACTGACCTGCTGCCAAAATCTGCTCGATGGAAGCTGTCGTTATGCCAATCTGAGGAGCCCCAGCAGGTTTCATCGAACGAATCTTCAAAAGAGCATCTTCCGTGAAAAGTGCTATTGGTTTTGTAAACTTCTTTGCTCTCAGTTCATCTGGACCGTCTCTGTCACCAGTATATTGTATTTGTACAGTACCAACAGTTGAAATACCACCCATAAAGTCTTCTGAGTCAGCAAATGGAATGCCAAGCCAAAAGTTTGAACGGTCTCCATTTGTATATTGAGTTTTTTGACCTCCTGTATGAGTCCATACTTTCACATATGGCATAATAGAACTTTGCATTTCAGGGTTAATGGTTGTTGTGAAGTTGTTGTTAAAGTTCATAGCATCTAATGTCAAGTTGTATGACCTCATATCCTCAACTGTAGAATATTCTTCTCTTGGATAATATTTGCCATCTATGTTTATATGATATTTAATACCGGGGTTGTAGAAACAAGAATAGTCATTTATAGTTCGTCTGAACAGTACAAACATAGTATCTGCATGTTTCATTGCAGTTGTTAAAGCAATATCTGTTCTTGCACCTGGGTCAGCACTTTGGTTTCCAACTTCACCTGCAAAGTCTTTGACAGATATTTGGTGTATAGGGAACATAAGTGGAACTGCAATATATTTGGCAGCTAAAGCATTTGAAATATCTGGGTCCAACATATAGACTGCAAGTCTGCTTTCTATTCTCTTGCATTCAAATTTTTCGCATGTGAACTTAACTGGGTCCCAAGCATCTCCAGCAGCATTGAAATAATAGTTTACTTCAGTGTTGAGGTTTGAGAAACCAAAGTCTAAGTCAACCTTGCCTTTGCAAAATTCGGCGAATGACGTTTTATTTGTTCCCATTACGTCTGTAAGAGTGAATGGGTCTTGTGTTGGTGCAATGACTAAGTTATTTTTGCTTGGAGTAAGTTCAATAGAAATTTTTCCTGCCCAGTTTGGCAAGTATCTTAAAAACCTGAAGATGAGGAAAGATGACAAAGGAACTCTAAGTTTCAGTTTTACTTTGGTTACTGCTGCTGCAGTTTGTCCAGAAAGGTTAACATAAACTCCTGGAACGTTAGGGTCAAGTCTTCTTATTTTCTCAATAGTTGCATACTGGTCTGTTTGTTCTCTAGCTTGTGGTTGTACGGAGTTTCTCAAAGCGAACCATTCATAGTTTGCCCATGTTACTGTTTGAACTAAGTCAGAGTTAGAATATATCTTATATCCCATGAAAACTTCTGGAGCATATTGGTATCCGACATAGAAAATTCCATTGCAACCTTTCTTGTCAGACAACTTGGCAGAAGGTTTTATTTCAATGTCTTGTTCCACGTATAAGAATGAGTTGTCAATAGAAATAATATGAAACCTGTCGCAAGCAATATCTACTGTTGTTGAAGAACCTTCTCCAAACTCACCTACGTTTCCATAAGAAACAGCAGTTGTATATTCGTAAGTTCCAGGAACTATTTCTGACCTTCTAATGGCATTGTCGCATTCGTTATACCATTCGGAAACATTTCCGTTCATGGCATCCAAAACTGTTGGCGTTATATTCTGAGCGGCGTACATTTCATATGGGTAAAAATATAGAATAGTTGGATTTATTTGTCATAATTGTTTCGTACCAAGCTTTACTTTCTTCCTGACTGAGTTTTTAACTCTTCTTTTTCCTTCATTGCCACTACTTTCACTAGATGAAGTTACTTCTTCACTACTTTCACTTTGTTCTACTCTTCTTCTTTGGTGTCGCTTTTGGTAACTTGCCCTCTGCTTCAAGTTGTTGCATCTTTGCCTCATGTTCACCTAGTATGTTGTAAATTTCCCATGTCCTTTTTGCCTTTGGGCTCTGGTCGCCCATCTCAGGTAACCTATATCCTAGAAAGATTTTGTCATAGTTTGTATTTGAGTCGTCGCTTATTGTTTGCATGACTCTTTCCTGAGTTTCCGGTTCAAGCTCTTCAAACAGAGCTTGTCCATATGGAATAAGCTCGTTTCCAAATATATGTTTTTGTAGCCATTCTGGTTTTCTTTCCATGTTACCAATAATATCTTTTGTGAATGGGAAAGCTTTTACCCAATGTTTCAGTCTTGCGTCATTTATTTCTGTAGTTGGTTTTATTTTGTCAAGGAACATGTTTTTCAATACTAACATTTCATTTGGTACTGTCCATTTGAGTTTTCTTAAATATTCATCCCTTCTCAGTTCATTGTCTGCAAAGTAAGTTTTTATGACATTTTGCAAACTTTCGTTTGCAAGGTCATGTACAATAGGTTCTCTTCCTTCTCTCTCCCTAACTTTCTTTCTAAACTCTTCACCAAATATACCATCTTTATGGTTCTGTGTAGTTCTTTGAGATAAATGTTTTAGAACGTCAGGTGTTATATTTCCATCAGCCATGTTCATTTCATACTGGTTCAAAATATCTGCATCTTTCATATCTTTCAATGGCATTAAAGCCGCGCTGAAAATACCAGCTATATCTGGTTCACCATTCACTTCCATTGCGTCTACAACTTCTTGGAATTGTGGTTGTAAGTTTATGAACCACCTATCCGGATTAGCTTTATGACCCCATCTCATTGTAGTTCCATAGTCTGCAGAAACAAAAGTAGGTTTGTTTCCATATTGGTTAGGTTCTGAATGAACTTTAAACAATGTTTCATTTCTATATGTTTTGTTGAAATTTAACCTTTTATTTTCACCGAGTTCAGCCAAAGATTGAACGTTATATGGTCGTAAGTAAAAAGGATTGTTGTATTTGCGTACACTTTCTTTCAGTTCTTCCATTCTATGCTGAATATTTTCATCTGATGTTGGAGTCTTTTGTATGTCGGCGAACATTTTTCGATATTCTTCTACTATGTCAGCCGAATTTTTCTTAGACTCTTGGAAAGATTCCATATTCCCGCATACACTTGTTGAGGGTCAAGATTTTTCGGCTGTTCCAAATCTTCATCTAGTTCTGTGAAGTTAGTTTCCAAAGGAGGGACTTGTTTGTTTCCTTCAGGCTCTTCTAGCTGTTGTTGCTGAACTATTTCTTCCATGTCTGGTTGTATCTGAACTTCTTCCTGTGGAGTTTCTTGTACCTCATCTGCTGGCATTTCATATATTCCGAGACCGTTTTTAAAAAGTTCCCTATCTAAGTCATCCGGACTCATAAACCTTTCTTCTTTCGTTCCGTCTCTATTTTTTACGCGTTTCATGAAGAGAGTTGAATTATCATTTAGCTCTGACACCAAATATCTCGGAGTAAATTCAGTCATGTCATTTGGATGATATGCTATTAAATCATATCCCTTAGCGAGCTTGTATTTTCCAGGTTTGAAATTATATCCCATTTGGTGCTGAACCATAAAGCTAAATAGGTTCGGGTCAGTATTTCCTTCCTTGAACTTTCTAATAGCTTCTTTATATCTGTCACTAAAGTCAAGAGTATCTGGGTAACCATAATTTTCCTTAAGCATTTTTAAGAATTCTTGGTTTCCTTGTTCTCTACTTCTTTTATGTCCTTGCTCTGTTTGTGGTTGTTGCTGTGCAGTGTTTTGAACTGTTGGTTGTGGTGCAGTGTTTTGAACTGTTGGTTGTGGTGTAGTGTTTTGAACTGTTGGTTGTGGTGCTGGATTTTGAACTGTTGGTTGCTGTGCTGGATTTTGAACTGTTGGTTTTGGTGCATGCCTGTGTCTGTGTCCATGTGACGATGTAAATGTTTTAGGTAGTCCTGGTGCAGGTGCTTCTCTTGGAGGGTTTGGTGGTATATAAGTTCCACTAGCTAGTATATAAGTTCCACCAGCTGGTATATAAGTTCCACCAGCTGGCACATATGTTCCATCTGCAGCATAATGTCCTACCTGACTTTTCGTTCTTAAGAAAGCATTTACTAGGTCTGTTTTGGTCTGTTGTAACTCTTTTTCTTGACTTTCCACAACAGTTGCTCTAACGGCGTCATAGGCACTTTGAACTGCCTGTCTCGTTGCTGCATCTGTTATTTTCGTCATATTTTGTGCTACTTCTCTTAACTCTTTGTCGAAACCTTCAGACTTCAGTTTCTTTCCAGATGAGAAGTCGTTCACTAGTTTCACCTTACTATGAAGAGCTTCGAAGGCGTTCTTAAAGTCAGCATTCATTAAAGCTTCATTTGAACTGTCTTCATCCGCTTGTATTTTTGTCCTTATTGACCCTATAAGTTGGGCTGCTTTAGCGTTGGCTTGGGCATCTAACCAGTCATTATTAGCTTTTATATATTCTGCGCTTTTCATTGCCTTTTGCATGGCTGCGTCGTTATTTTTACTTTCTTGTGCTAAGTTTTCATACTGTACGGTTTGGTTTTGCAACTGTAAAAGTTTTTCTGCCTTTACATTTGCTTCAACTTCTTTTTTATACTCATCGCTATCCATATATGTCTTCAGGGCTTTTTGTTTTATTTCTTCATCTTTCAGTACTTTATATTGAGTAGTATGGTTTTTCAAATTTATAACATCTTGTTCCATTTTTGCTACTTCTGCTGCTTTTTCTGACACTTTTTTCGCATATTCCTCTGTACTTAGTTCTTTCAGTTGTTCTTCTTTCTTCTTTTTCTCTACGTTTAACTCATTGAGTTTCTTTGTGTGTCTGTCATATTCTAGTTTCTTTTCGTTTTCACTTATTTGTTTCTGTATGTCTATGTTTGACTTTTTGACATCTGTTATTTGATTTTTGAGTGAACTCAAATTCATTTGACTTTGAGGGTTATAAGCTGTTCCGTCTGCAGCTCCACCATAGCCTGCCATTTTCGCTAAAAGTGCCGCTCTTAAACCTCCACTCTGTGCACCAATAACTCGGCTTAAAAGCATAGGGTTGCTTGACATTTGTTGCAACATAGTGGGGTCATTCATCATTTGTTGTTGCAACTGTTGTTGTGGTGTCAGTTTTACTATTGGATGTTTCAATGCTCTCTTCCTCTTACGTATATTCTTACGTAGCTTACGTGGCATTTTAAGTGAAGTAAAAAACGGTTTTTGACAGATGTTTATATGACACTATTTGTTCAGCACAAAAAACTACTCGGTCAAAGTGTTGTCAGTTTTGTAAAATAACCGTCCTATCTCATTCTATAAGGAGAAAAGGCTTCTCAAAGTATACTTCCTTGGAACGCCTGTAACTTTTCCTGTAGCGACGATAGACCCTTACTTGTCCGGACAAAGTTATACTAAACATCTTCAGGGCTAGAGGGCACGAAGTGCCTGGAGGCCCCACTCCCTTTTTTTTTTTTTTTTTTTTTATTTCCTTTTTGTCATTTTTTATAGTACAAGCTGTTGAAATCTAAGTTAGAATGGCAATTATTATTAAAAATTCACCGGTACATGATATCTTTAATAATATGAGCTTTCTTTCGGTAACAATATCTCGATTTTTCGAATTTGAGAATTTTAGAACTATGATAGATTGCAAAAACTACTTTAGTAGAACAATTGCGGACGAAATGATTTCATTTTCTAGGGTTCGTTTTCTAAGTTCTGATTGTTATGACCTGAATTAAGTTCGGATAACTCAATCAAAGCTGTGAACAATAGGAAGATGTATAAAATCAAGTTTATGAATAGATATTTAATATAATCATATGATTTTTCCTATTGAAATAAATTTGATATTATATAGATGCATTTGATAGGGTTACAATCAATAAAAGAATTCTTATCAAATTTTTAAGATAAAATGTTTTATAAATACTACATATCCGCATAAAAATTATATATTTTTTTTTACTAAAAATAAACAAATAAAAAAGGAAACTTAATTATTGAGCAATAATTTGCGTCGGAGTTGGCTTTGATTCAACATTAGGTATAATCACAAGTGATGTTGCATTATTAATCATTACATCAGGGTCTATATTAGTATTTTCACATGAAATATCCAATTTTTTCTGTCGGGAATCAAGGTTTCTATGATCAAGCTTATAAACCATTGATTGTCTTACATTTTCTACAATGTGAGGGTTTCCAAACGGTTTCTTCTTTATAAAGTTAACAATTGTTAAATCTTCATTAAGGTAGTTTGTTTGTGTTGCTTTGTACTTCACTTGATGAATTCTAACAAGAGCAAGACCGTTGATCGGCATCGGAATCTGTTCATCTGTTTCACAGAAAATTTTTGTTATTTGTTTGTTAAAAATCTTAACCAATCTGTAATTTCTTGTACAAAAACGCTCTAAGATTTCTTTGTTGCTTTCTGGAGAATCAATATTAACACCGATAATCTTCTTGAAATCTTTATACTCCATATTAGGAAACTCTTTTTTACCTTCTTTGTTAAATATATTCTCCTTTTCTGAATCAACTTTTTCTTCCAAAACTTTGGAAATAACTTGATACCATTTAAACTGTGGCAATGCATTTTTTTTAATTCCAGACGGAGTATTCTCTGTAACTATAACAGGCGTGAACTCACCCTTCCAATCTTCGGCATAAATAATTTGGAAAGATCCAGAAATGACAGATTTTGGAACAAAAATACTTTTCGGATTTTTACCAACGGGATAAAAAGAAGGAATTGCAGGCATATAGGCTTCCTCTGGATAAAACAACTCTATCTTTGGATCATCAGTATTTTCGTCACTTTTATTATCACTTTTCGATTCAGAATTTTTGTCACTTTTCGAGTCGGTTTTTGATTCAGAATTTTCTGGATTTTCCTTATTAGTTTCATTCACTGAAGTATTTGAATTATTATTCAAACAATAGAAAGGAGATTGGATGTGAAAAACATTAATTCTATTAAAAAGTTTTGCAGAAACGTAAATGAAGGTCAAAGGAATCTTTCTTGGCTGAAGAGCAAACTTTCTGATGACAGGAAGGAAGTAACTCGTGTTCAAAAGCATAAATTGATCAACAATATGAACAATTTGAGTTAAATTGCCGCAAGGATAAACAATCTGAGCTCCAACGTTTATACCTTGCGAAAATGTTGATGAAACTAAATAATAAGGAACTGATTTGATATGAAAGATATTTTGTGGAACTTTTTGGGTAAATGTAATATCAGCACGGAAGCAAATAATATCAGATTTAACACTTTCTAATCCACTCTCTACTTTGTCCTTTGAATAATCAACAAAAGGAATTCCGTAAATAATTGTATAAGAAAAGCCAGTTTCTCTTGAAAAGCATTCCATCCACTTGTCTAAGAAGCCTTCATCGAACTCAATCTCGTTGTAATGAGGTCCTTCGTCTCGAAAGAATTTTTTAGGTTGAAATAATTCGCTTGGATAGTTCTTTAGTTGAAATTTGAAGAAAATATCTGATATTTTCCTTAGATCTGTTTCTTGTCCTGTCATAAAAGCTCGCAATGTCGAAACAAACGGAAAATCAGGGTCAAAATAGCGCAAAGGAGGTGTAATTGGGTAAAATAATGCTAGATGAGAGTAAATCCATGAAAAACCAGTTGTTGTTTTATAAGGCATGAAAGGCAACAACTCAATACTTAATTTAGTTCCTACAAGCAATCCGTGAATAAATGCACTTTCACCCAACTTCAGAGACAGTATCTCAGGTTCTTGTGATGCTATGGTGAATTCATCATAAGTTTTTGTAATTCGCAATATTATGTAATCATCTGGTTCTAAAATATATAATGAATCCGTGTTGATTTTTATAAAAGCGAGATTCCCGAGAATTTCATTATCAGCGTGAGTTTTTTTTTCTTGAATTATTAGACGAAGTTGAATATAGGAACTTAATTCATCACCTCCATATCGTATATTAACTAAATCATTTTTATTTAGAATTGTTATATCTTTTTTTGCTTCAAGAGGTTTAAAAAAATCCATTGCTGATTATTTGTCACTTTTTAAATTCAAGTTTACAAAATTTTGAGGAAAAAAAAGCATTATGATTTATGAATCAAGAATTTTAACATCTAAATGAAGGTGATGTCATTGGCGATTTTTTTAATATTACCATCAGACATTTTGCAGTCTTTTTAAAATTTTTCTGTCTTTCGATGCATTAGCATGTCTAAGAACCAATAAAGCCATATTGAAATTCTAAGATCTTTATTAGGACACAATATTGAAATTTTGACGATATTCAAAAAAATGTTGGATCCGAATCAATAATTGATTGAGCATTCATGCATGTATTTCATTTATAGTAGTAATATTTAGATTTTTACGATACCCATTGAGATTGTCTGAAATCCACTTCTTCTTTGCGAAATGATATTCTTAGTAAGTTATTATTCTAGAAACCAAACTTAAATTAGTATTAGTGTAATATCGGCGTTTGGCGTCACTTTTAGTCATTCCTTTCCAATTTGTTCATAAATGAGCAAGCCCAATGAGAAGCTTCTACGTTCTATGGTTGAAAGTGTAGCAGGCGAATATGCTGCTCTTTTAGAATATAGAAACAGACTTGAAGCAGATTGTAACAAATTGAAAGAGTTCATAGATAATCAAATACAACAAATACACCAGCTTAATGACGATTTCATTAAATTGCGACAGGAATATGGTCAACGAAATGATAACTACGGAGCGCCAAAAAGCTACTACAATTGAATTTCGATCTTTTGAAAGATTCAACGGCAAATCAAATTTCATATCCAATAATCGGGAATATTAGTTCTTCAAAATCAATATATTTCCGAAAGGCCGTGAATTCATTAAAAGATGGTTACTTCTTTTTTCGAAATATGCTCTAGAACTTTACAGTTTGCTTTGATACCTTCTCATTGGAATCGATAACTATTACTTTTCTTCAAACTAGGATTGCCTTTTCATAGAACTATGGAATTTTGGAACAAAATTCTTCGTTAACCAAATTCTTTTACACAGATATACTAGATGTAAGAAATAATAAGTTCTCAATACATGTTCGGATTAGAATGATCATTATACTATATAAATATTTGTTTTTTATTGTTTTAATTTCAATTTTTTTTAATCTTTTTTAAATCCTAATTTCACATATGCAGGCTGAGTTCCATTGCGACATGCTCACTTCTCATCAAATACTATATGTAATTTTACAAGTAACGATAATCTATCAATTTTGTCATGCAAAAAGATAACCCAATCAACAGAAGAAGCTTCATGATCCAAATTCAAAACACCTGATTTAAGGGTTTCGTTTTGCGAAAAAAACGTACAATACGCAATTTCGCTAAAAAACATTTAGCTAGCAATTTCGACCTTTGACTCCACTTAAGACGTCACTTTTTTAATTTTGCGGTATCATATTTTTGGAAAATCTTTATGAATATTATATAAAAAGTCTCTTTAATATCTATATTTCATATTTTTATCGATTTTTAAAGTTTTTGCGAAAAGTATTCAATTATTTTTGCTATTTGGTCGGGTAAATGTCAGATTTGCGACATTTTCTGATATGATATTCAGATTCTACGTTGATAATAATGCTTATAGAACCCTCTTGCTATTGTGTCAAAATTGCGAAACCGATAGCAAAAATATCTCGCAATATCAAAATTGAGATATTGAGTGAATTATGCATTATAGAGATTAAAAATCTGATTTGTGAAAACATCTCATCAGTTTCTAGCTAATTCAAAAATCTTTACTATCTTATTCGATTAAAATGAAAAGGGAATAGTTTCATTATGCTTTAAATGACAGCCTTATAATATAATCATAGTTTTCGCTCAATATGCAGCATTTTTTTTTCGAAATCTATGGTCAATATCCTAAATACTGATTGCTTTGCATTCATATCTCTTACATTTTCTATACCCACATCACTATTCATTGCTATTCCTATCTTTTTCATTTTTGTTTGTTTCTCATAATTTCTCAAAAAACACGATAACTTGATATTTGTAAATATCATACTTTATAACGTAAATAAGAACTTGACCTATTAAGAAAAGCAGTAATGAAAAGAAAATCTGAAATTCATAAAAATTACAAGTTTCTGATGACAATTAGCTTAATTAAACCAGGTACAAGATTATATAATTGTATTTTCTATCCAATTATCCATATAATATCTTATCCAGAAAAAATAACTTGATCAATACCAAATGATTTTTTAACTAGTAAATAAAGTATTTTCTTTACACACACATTGTATATCATAGTTTTTTTTTTTGGTTTCGCAAAACATCCAAAAACAAATATGCTATAAAAGTGACAATTTTAGCAAAACGAAACCCTTACCTGATTTGAAAATTCATTATTACATTTTTATTCAATTTTTTCAAAATATTTAAATAATAGATTCATTTGAATCTATGGTAATATATTCCATCATGTAAGTGTTGATATCAGAGATTGTAGGGTAAAATAAATGCCTAATTTAGTTCTGATATCTTTTAAGTAGTATATGTTGAAGGGTTGTGTGACTTTTTTTGTTACATCTATATATAGACGATGCATTAAAATATATTTATTTATAAATCATTAAAAAATTAACATTAATTTTAAAATAATTTATTTTTTTATCTTTTATAAAAGAAGCTATATATAGATGATGTCAGATATTCCGCGATTAATTAAACATCATTTAAATCCTGAATGGGTTAAACTTCAATTTAAAAATGAAGATTGTGAATTATTAAATGAATATGAAAGCCAAAATAAGCTAATGAGGTATAAATATAATGATAAAGAATATTTAATTTCATGGAATCAATGGAGTCATAATCAAAGACCTCATAAACGAGAAGAAGAAATTGAAAATAATGAAATGGAAATCATTGATGACATTAAAGAGGATGGAATTCCTAAATTTTGTAGAAAAACCTTTAGAACTAAGTTAGGAGCATATAAACGTAGAGTATTAAATCCTGAATACATAAAACATTTATTTAAAAAGGAAGACTGCGAATTATTAAACGCTAATGAATATGAAAATGCTAAATCAAAACTGAGATATAAATATATTGGAAGTGATGAAAGGTGTAAAGATAAAGATAAAGTTTATTCGGTTTCATATAATAACTGGCACACGTTAGGGATAAGAAAACATTTAGAAGATTATGGTAAAAGTTCCGAATTCTTTAAATCTAGTATGTGCGACATTATTAAATAAATTAGTAATAATTATTTTCATGAATGAAAGATTCACTACCATAATGAAATAAAAAATAAAAAAATAAACTTTAAAAATTCATGTCTTACATTTATGAATAATTTATAAAAAGTTTTTATTCCTACAATTCCTATATTACCATTAATAAAAGAATATATTTTATAATAGTTTCATTTCGAACATGTTAAAATTTATCTGCATTTCGAAAAATTTTTATTATAAATGATAATATAATTTATTAAATTAATATATAACTTATGAATTTTTACTTTTTGTATGAAATAAAATTTAGTATTAATAAAGTTATAAATAAATTGGTGCATGTTAGATGTAAATAAGATATAAAAAAGGTGTTTATGAATACTTTAGCAGAACTTCTACTGGTAGAGTTTATACTGGCAGAACTTCTACTGGTAGAGTTTATACTGGCAGAACTTCTACTGGTAGAGTTTATACTGGCAGAACTTCTACTAGTAAAGTTTCTACTGGTAGAACTTCTACTGGCAGAATTTCTACTGGTAGAGTTTATACTGGCAGAACTTCTACTAGTAAAGTTTCTACTGGTAGAACTTCTACTGGCAGAATTTCTACTGGTTATATATGGTGTCAATTTTTTAAAAAATTTTGAATTCAATGAGTTATATCAAAAATAAAATTCTTGAATAGAGTAAAAAAATTTAAATAATTTATTTAAATATTTTCTTCTGACATTTTTGAATAATTTATTTTTTTAATTCGTAAGAAAATGAGTGGATCAAGATTCGTAACCGTCAATCAATTAATGGATGCTCTTTCACCAATTCTTGAAAATGTTAAACAAGTAGATGTTTATTTCGATGATTATGTAGAAAGTTTATATTATAAAGGTAAACATAATATTAAACCCATTGCTTTTGCATTTGATAATAAATTAATTGAAAATGCAAAAATTTGGGAATTAATTCCAGATATTGAATATATAACGAATATAACTAATAAATGGTTCAAACGAATTCCAACCACAAAAGTTCTTTGTAAATTAATGATCAAAACCGAGGCCAAAGAATTTCATGAATTTACATATCATCCAAATAAAGTTTCAGAACTAGAAAATGAAAAACTTCAGAAAAAATTAAACGATAGACTTTCAAATGATCGTATTGAAAAAATAAATAAACTAGCAGAAGTTGCATTTAATAATGAAATATTTGATGAATATAACCTTGAACTCAGTGATGGGCTTTAAGGACCCGGGCTCAACGAGTCATGATTTATGATATCAATAATTTGATTTATTTCTTCAATAATTTCTATTCTTTTTGTTAAATCATCTATTTTCATTAATGAGGTGATTCTTGATTGAGGAATAGATTTCAAACTAACCACTCCTTTTATTTTTGAAATTTTGAATCCATCAACTTTAAACATTTTATTCAATTTACACGTTGTCAATTCTTCAAATAATTTTTTATTATTAGCATAATAGTCATTAAATTCTTCAACAGATGAAAAAATTTTTATTTCAGTAATTGGTTTAACAACGTTTATTTTTTGTTGAACATTTTCACTTTCATTTATTTCTTCCTCCTCTGTTTCATTTATTTTTAAAATTGGTTTCATTTATCATTAAATAAAAATTAGAATATAAGTGATGAAATATATTTTTTAATTAATATTAAATCAGAAATGGCGGCAGGATTCTTTAAAAAATTATGGGAGGAATTAAGAAAGCTGCGGGTTGGGTTCATCAAAAGATTATTAAACCCGTTGCAAACTTTTTGGCACCAGTAGCGAAAACAGTAGCGAAGACTATCATAGGTGGAGTATTAGGTACTAAAGCAGGTAATCCGGCATGGGAGCACAAGCAGGTAACGCAATTGGTGGAATAGCTGAAGGAATACTTAATAAAATAGGAGGTAGATAGTGGAAAAATAAATAAATATTATTTTTATCTTAGTATCGGTTGAGTCTTTGATAAACTTTTTCTCCTTTATTTAATATTTCTCTTATTGGGGCAGCTTTTGGTGTTATTGATTCAGCAACGTCACTAATTGCTTCTTTATTCTTAAATATCCAATTTGCTCCTTCTTCATTGTTTCCCAAACTTTATGCGCTCCTCTTTTTACTTTATCCCACAGTTTCTTAAATATACCTGCAGCCATAGTTGATTATTTCATTAAAATTAAAAATTCATTTTCATCTTTTAATTTTGATTTTTTATTTATTAATAAATGACGACTAACTATTTGGTGCCAAACACTAAACCGATTAATGGAAATGTGTTTCATTCATTCGAAAAGATAAATGAAATATTCGCAAAGAATGACGGTAGAAGATATTATAGAGAACTTGAAAGTTCATGCTATGACTCTGATGCTCCATATTTTGATGATAAACAAACTCATTTAAGAATTACAAATCCGGCTCATGATGTGAACCAATTAGGTGACACATATATTAAACGCAAAGTTAAAGCAACTCTAGTTTCAAATAAAGCTTTCACATGTGATGCCGCTTTTAAATGCATGCGTTTATTCGTTGGTTACAAATCATCAAATCAAAGCTTTAAACAATTAGAAGTAGAAACCGAAAGAGGTGATGCCGGTTATCTTCAGATGGATTGCGCCCGTGAATCTTTCGCATTTGCAACATATAAACCAAAATCAGAAAGGAAAGTTAAAAAGTTTGTTCATTCGTTATATAATAATGTTCAAAAATATGATAACTCAGTATGTGGTAAATATATTGACCCTTCAGAAGTTTTCAAGAAAGCAAATGAAGAAGTTGATGTCACTTTTGATATGATTATTCCGGTAAATGATTTGTTAGCATTTCAGGCGTTCGATGATTATCCTAAATCATTTGGTGAAATCATTCTTAAATATTATGTTTTCAGGGATACTTTAGTATTTTGTCAGGTTGACCCGTTAAGAGTTGCTGATTTACAAAATTACGTTTATGAAAAGATAACTGATGAAAATTATGAAAAGATTATGAATCATGTTTATAAATATGATCGCAAATTCCAACAAATCGGACTTCCTGCCAAATTAATTACAAGCTTAGCCGCTACATCTGCTGACGCAACAGTTGATAACGTTATTATTTCATGCACAAAGATGGAAGTTTTAGAGGATAAATGCATTACACCAGGATACGGTTTAATTGAAGAATCAGTTAAAGCAATACCACGTTTATTCAGTAAGGAAGATCCATTCATGATTCCAGCTCAACATATTGACGTTCGTTCACTAAATGGAGGTTGCATCACTCCTGAAGGTATCAGCTCAGATTTCTCATACGCTCTTCATAATGTTACAGATGTTGTGTTAACATTTCCGAAGAATGCAATGCAAAGAACAGTTTTAGAAAATCCAATGCTTCGAGGTCTTCAGGTCACTATAGATTCCAGAAACTTCCCCGATCAAGCGATGACCACAGTGGGCGACATATTCTTTACACGTATGCTTCAAGCTTCTGATTTAGATGGAGTGAATGAATGCACAGAAGAATACGAGGACTCATTAACTAGACCACTGAATGATGATGGCACGCCATTAGCTAGAACATGGAAAGACCAAACTTCATTCTTATGCACTATTCCAGTTCAACGTGATGGAGCGGGTATATTCTTTGATGGATTAGAAACTTTCAACTCACAAGTTACAGTACAAGTGAAAGCTTATCCAATCATTCAGGGTGAAAATGACACTTACTGTTCAAAGGTGACAAATCCTCCTCAGGTTTGGTTTACTAGGACTACATATTGGACATGGACACCGGATGAAGGTTTGAAATATCATCCAACAGGTACACCACCACAGTATAGAAGTTCATATGATGAAATATTGATGAATAGAAATGTTTAAAATTATAAATTTATTTTTGATTAAATGGATTTAAATTCATCCACCCCTTATGAAGAATTAGCGGAGTATATAATACATACGTAGATGATATGATTAATGAAGCATTGAGTGATAATAGAAATGCTCTATCTAAGGAAAAATTAATGAAAATTCCATATTCTGAATGTTACTTAAATTCAATCACTGCAGCAATTGGTAAACAAAATAAAGGTAAAACATTAACGATATTAAAACAAATTATCATTATTGCTAACACTTCCCCCTATTCACATGTGTTAATTTATATCAACCGTTCAGGTTCACCTTCAGATGATACATTTGAATCTTTAAAGCATTTAATCAAAATTCCAATTATTTATTTATCACAAGAAGAAGCAGAAGATTATTTAAAAAACTTTTTAATGTATAAAGAATTATATAATACAATCAAGAAGCAAGGATTAGAGGATAAAATTATTGATAAACAACGGGATGAATTATTTGAAACACTTTCTATTTCAAATTTTGATAAAGAATTTTTGCATTCACTATTTTTCTAGATGATGCAGTGAAATCAAAACTAATAACAAATGAGAAATCATATTTTAATCAGTTATTAACTCAATGTCGACACATTCAGTGTTCATTCTTTATGGCTGTTCAATACTTCAAAGCATTAAGCACAAACATTAAATCAAATCTGTCCACCCTTTTCATTTTCAGTGGTTTTAGTCGTCAACAGTTGAACGTTATGCTTTATCAAGTGAATTTACCAATGAGCATTAATGAACTTTACACACAATATCAACAATTAGGTGAACATGGAAAAATAATAGTTGATTTAAATAAAGGTGTTAAATTTGATTAACTTTTTATAATTAATTTTTATTTTTTATTTATAATTAAACATGACAGAAATAGCAAATCTTCTACAGGTTCCATTAAAACAAGGGACAAACAAAAAGGGTGCATATAATAGAACTATGAAAGTTCCAGACGGAATGAAAGAATTAGTCCACATTGTTGCCGGTCTTCAAAAAGGATGTTAAACAAATGAGAAACGTTTTAACATTACCAGAAGCTCAAGCATATGCCAAACGTCATGGTCCAAATTGGGAAGCACACGAAGCAGACATTACGGGTCCAAATGGAAAACCTGATGGTATAAATGAAGTTTTCGTTACTGATGGTCAAGGTAATATTAAAGTCATAAATGGGTATAAATTAACAATGACGGATTATCCTAAACGTAAAGCATATAATGAACGTTATCCTATGAAATTTGATGAAAATGGAAAAGCTGTTAAACAATACATTGGAGAAGGTGAACATGGTCCAATGTATTCATACCATCTTAATCCATATTCTTATTTCAATGAAGAATTAAATGCTGTTGAAGAGGGACCGGATGGATTACCACGATATGTTAATCAGTTTGATGGTCAATATGCAAATTTGAGACCTGAAATTCCAGCTAAGAAATTCTTTAAAGTTGCTTTATTCGATCCAGTGTTCAATGAACAGAAAGAAGCAATGAAAGCAGAATTTAAACCAATTCAAGTGGCAAGAATTTCTTCATCTTCACTTTCAGAAGCGTTCAAGGAATTGATAAAGAAACCACTTTATTCTCAACAAGGTTATAACTTTGATTTAATTAAAGAAAGTGATAGACGTAAATTAGAAAAATCAGATGGTTTTAAGAATGCATGTAATGAAATGATTAAAGATATTGTAAATGATAAAATAAGACTGGAAGAAACTCAAAGCAATATCAATAACATAATTGGTGCAGTTACAAAGAAAGTATAAGCAAACAATGATGAACCTTGGGATATTACCGTAACAACTAAATAAAACTTTAAATATATTTTTTTTTTTTTATTCAATTATAAATGAGAAGACGTTTCACAAGTCAAAAGAACACAAACGCAAAAGCAGAGATTACGGTTGGTTATAACGTAAATGATGATAAATCACGAATTATTCAAAATGTTAAAGTTAATGTTAGCCCTGAATTAACAAGGTCAGCAACTCAACCAAATTTATTAACTCGTGACTTACCGAAAAAGGAGGAGGAGCAAAATAAAGAAGATGGAGACCCAATCATTTTATCTGAACCCGGTAAAGAACCTGTTGAAATTCCCACTTATCCAACATACCCCCACCTCTTTCATCAAACATCGAGAACCCAGGAATCTACGATTCCAGTCGCAATGCGCCATATAAAATAGACATTAATTCTGAATTAATGAAAATTTACCGTGATATAATAATTAATAATTATGATTCAATAATAAATTTAATTGACCAATCAGGTTTAATTATTTTACCTTATGAATCATTAATTCACATTATCGCCATTCTTTGTGATGTTCAAGATTCAGACGTTAAGATTCAATTTTTCATAGATGATGAGGTTTCATGCTGCGGAACAGTTGCAAAAATAAATCCTATAAAGGATATTAGCACAATTAAGATATCAAAGAACGGAACAACAACTGAACTTCATTTAACATATAATGATATTTATAATAAAATAGTTGATGAATATAAAATATCACTTGAAAAATTCTTTGTTAAGGCTATTTAATATTCAAGCATTAACATTATCGAATAATAATCCTTTGAATCATAATCAATAATAATTGACCTTTCACCAGTTTCTATCGTTTGTTTTATTTCTTTTTGTTCCCCACTATCTGGATCGGTCATTGTAATTGTTTTTGTTATAGTATCAGCTTTATCTTTAACTTCAATCTTTTTTCCATCGGGATATTTAAACCAAAATTCCAAAAATTCGATATTGTCAATCTGTTCATATTTTAATCTATCAATTACATTTTTAATACCATCTGAAAATCTTATGAAATGGTCATTATATGGGTTTGATTGAACTAAATTTGAATGAAGTGAAATATAACCTGTTGATGAATATGACATTGACTCATATTTTCTGAAAACACTAAAATTTATAACATGAATGAATTTCTTATTCGTTGAATTTATGAATTCTTGAGGTAATCTTATTCTAGTTTTATTTATCACTGGAAAATAACGCTTTACCATATTTTTAATCGTAATAAAAATGTCAATTATCAATATTATTTCGAATAATAACTGTGAATTAAATTTAACAGTTAGCGGAATTTATAATGTTACTCTCGTTTCTGTGAGTGGTAAATTTAATCCCATTCTTTTAGACCCTTCAGATTATATATCATTTATTAAAGATGACCATGAAAAAACGTATGATATGTATATAAATAATGTGATAGCGAAATGGGATATTAACATGATTTTAAGTTATTTAAATGAATCATTTATCGTATGGTATGAAGAAAATTTTAAATCAAAACCTGATAAACTTTTTGAACTTGATGAAATAAATAACCTTATTAAATTTCCGCTGAAAATTAAATTTTGTACTCCTCATCTTCGTTCATTGTTGGGGATATTAAATTTTGAAAAAGATGTTGGGGATGTTTTGTATTCTGACACTGGTTCCAATTTCATTTTAATCAAATGTGATAAAGTTAATACCCCAATGAGATTTTCACATCAAACATTAGACCCTAACTCTTACCCATCAATACAAAACATTTTATCCATCAACTTAAACACATTTTCTTTATCATATCCGTTTCAATTATCTGGGAATTCATTTATTCTTCATTCAAAAGATTTATCAAATATTAAATTTAGAGTAACTGACCTATTTGATTGTGATTTAGAATTCATGAATGAAATATTATGGCAATTTCAAATAGAAAAAATAGCTGATGAGATAACAGATTAAATATTTATTTTTAAATCATAATAAATGATTAAACAACAGCAACCACAGCAACTTAAGGCACAAAGCACCCAGGTCCTCAGACCATTACATACGCCATATATGCATATAATTCAAAGACGGCAGAACAAACGCAAAGGTTGAAATATGGAGATTTGGAGATAGTATTGAAAAATGACATTTCGAATTCGTTTGCAAAGGTGGTGCAGTGATATCAAATATAAAAGAAATTTTATTTATGAATTCAAAAATTAAAGGTATAACGGATGATATAACATCAATTCCACCAGAAGAACAAAGATATTACGCATTAAATGCATTTCCTAAAGTTTTGAAGATTGGAAGATTTAATTTAAATGAGGAATTCATAAAAGGTTTCCTAAATGACATAATGAAGAAAGCAGATAAGGAATATGTGGATAGTGAGTTAAATAAGAAGGTGGATAAGGAATATGTGGATGAAAAAGATAATGAAATTAAAGAAAGGGTTGAATGGTATCATGAATGGACATCAAAGATTTTAAAAACTAAAGCTGATACAGGATGGGTTTCAGGATGTTTAGACCTTAAAGCGGATAAGGAATATGTTAACGATGAGTTAAATAAGAAAGCAGATAAGGAATATGTGGATAGTGAGTTAATGAAGAAAGCTAATATATCATTTGTTAATGAAGAAATAAAACAATCAGAGGTCTATTTTACTCCACCATTTTTAAATTTTATGAAATCATCAGATAAAACCTTTGATATAGATTCTTTTGAATGGATATGTTTCGATGGAGTGACCATGTATTTATTTTATACAGCTGGAGTGCTTTATTATTTTAAAACAAATGATTTTAAAAACTATGAATCATTTACTCCATCTGTTTTGAATCCTGATACACGAAAGCCAATCATTAATCCAAGAATTTTATATGTTGAATATAATAACGGTAAATTTATGGGAATGATAACGGTTGGAGATGATTTTTGCCCTTGTTATTCATTCGATTGTATCCAATGGTTCAAATGTAATTTAAATCAAGATGCTAAATTTAAATATCCAAATAATCCTATTAGATGTGTTAATAATAAATGGGTACTAATTTATGAAGTCAATCAAATTTTCATTAGTGAGGATGGGATAAATTATTATATGTTTAGTATGATGTCATCAGATTTGAAATTGATTATACAAGTAAGTGGTATTACATTAACAACATGTATTTTATCCTACAAAATGATAAAATTTATAGATCATCTTCAATATCACAAGGTCAATTTGAACAAATTTTTCAAGCTGATGGAGACATTGAAGCTTTATGTTATGGATCAAATGTTTATGTTCTCGTTTCAGGTGAAATGGTCTATTCATATCCTGTAAGTTATAACAGACATATTTATTTATCACAGGATTTATCAAATTGGGAATTGGTTTATTCATTCACTCCAAAACTTACTCGAAAATTATAGATTTACAAATTTATTTTATATTGATGGGTATTTCATTGCTTTAGGATGTGGTGATTTAGTAAATATCAGTAGTGATGGAAGAAACTGGTCTGAAATCACAAAATTTCAAGATGTTAGAAAAGCAATTTTCAAAAATAATACGTTAATATTGATAACAAGACCAGTTTTAAATACTCACCCAAATTCAATATTATATAATAAATTCAATATTCATAATGGATTAAATACAATTCTTGAGATGATTTACCCCATTGGTTCTTTATATACATCAATGAACTCAACAAATCCAGAAACAGTTTTAGGTTTTGGTACGTGGAAGCAGATTGTAGACAAATTCTTATACTGTGCTAACTCTTCAAAGCAAACAGGAGGTTCGAAGAAAATTAAAGAAGCAAACCTTCCACCGCACACTCATACAGGAACTACAAACTTTTCTGGCGACCATAGCCACTCATTAAGAGACCACCCATTATACAACTCAGACTATAAAGCTGGCAATGATGTTTTATCTCCAGATTATAACCATTCAGCAAAAAAGACTTTTCGACCAACTGAACCAGGAGGAAATCATGTCCATACTTTCACAACAAATCCAACAGGCTTGGGTAAAGATTATATGCCACCATTTATGACTGTATTCGCATGGTACCGCGTTCATTGAATGAACTAAATATATTTTATGTCTGTAATTAATTAGGTAATGAAGTAATGGATGAACTACAGAAATAAATGTTTACGTTAATGTTTACGTTAATGTTTACGTTAATGTTTATGTTAATGTTTTCAGGTCATTCAATAATTAATTATTTTTGAAGAACTGAAGGTGTCACTATGTCACCATGTGTCACTCGGTTATTTAACTTCTCTGAAAAAATGAGACAACATGACATTTAGACAACAACACAGGAGGAAGGTAGTTATGAATTATTTTTGAAGAACTGAAGGTGTCACTATGTCACTCGGTTATTTAACTCATGACATTTAGACAACAACACAGGTCATTCAATAATTAATTATTTTTGAAGAACTGAAGGTGTCACTATGTCACCATGTGTCACCAGGTCATTTAACTTCTCTGAAAAAATGTGACAACATGACATTTAGACAACAACACAGGTTATTCAATAATGAATTATTTTTGAAGAACTGAAGGTGTCACTACGTCACCATGTGTCACTCGGTTAATTAACTTCTCTGAAAAAATGAGACAACATGACATTTTGACAACATTTACGAAAATTTGATGCAGTCCAAAAATAAAGTTAGTTTTAAAATTATTTTTATTTTTTTTATTCCTATATAAATGACAGCAACAAACAACAACAGTAACTTTATCATTTCTGATGAACAAGTTATTGATTCATTAGCTGAGGAATTAGTTGTGGCAGAAACTAAAACCCTCAACGAAAGAATTGGTGAAAACAAGATTGATTTACATAACTACCTCAAACATGATGGAGGAAGAGGAAGGAAAACTGGTATGGCTTTATTAGTAAATAAAATTTCAAATTTAACGATTATAGATGTTGATATCAATAAATCGTACAATGATGAACTTAAAGAAACAGTTAGAAAAGACATTTTATCAAAACTTTCGGATAAAGATGTTATCGTTAAAACCGCTTCAGGAGGTCTTCACATTTATTGCAACACTAATTTCTTCTATGCAGTTTCGAACAGAATGATTAAATGTTATTCCTGCAATGATTATGATATTGACATAATGACTTCTATTGATGATTCAAAGCGTTCATTAGTAGTTATGGCTGATTCAAGAGTTCGCAAGAATGCATCAGAACCAATCAATACATACTCATTCATTCGTGGAAGTTATGATTCAACATTAACCAGAACAGTAAACGATATATTAAATGATTTGAATATTAAGGTAAGAGTTGAACAGAAGAGCGAAGAAATAAAGAGTATAATGAATGAAAACAAAGATGTAAACATTGACGATAAACTTGCCCAGAGCATAGTTGATGGCATCTGTGATTTTGAAGTACATAATGATGGTGGAAACATGAATTTAGAAAAAGAAGTTACATTATTCACACTGTTTCAAGCAATTAATTCGTTACCTAATCATTTAATTAATGAAGCATACGATAACGTTTATAATTTCTGCAATTTAACTGAAAATGCAAAAAGTAATTTTGAAAAAGCACGTAGTAGATATGCACATTTAATGACTTCTCCATTTGTTTTGGTGAAGATTCTAAAACTTTATCAAAAGGAATATTATGATGAATATGTTTTACCTTTATTACGTAAGCCAAAAATAACATTTGATATCAAACTTGATGACTCGTTTTTGATAACAGATATTAGACGCAAGGCTGAAAATCATCAGTATAAAAACAGTTCTGAAGTAATCGAGGATTTATCACGTGTAATCCGTTTTGTAGATTGTGGAAACAAATATTTCATTCAGAAAGATTACAACATACACGACAAAATGAATCAAATATCATTTGTTCTTCAGTCAAACATGAAAGAGTCACTCAAAATGATTAAATTATTTAAAGAAGAAGGTAAAACAATAACAGCATGGGATGTACTACTAAATCAATTATCCTCATTAACCGTTAAGGGTGTTTGCTTTAAATCTGATTCCCCAGATGTTTTCTCAACGTTTCAGGGTTATAAATACAACATTCTTGAAAAGCCTGATTACTCAAAAATTGAGATGTTTATGAATTTCATTAAAGAAGCCATTTGTGATAATAACGATGAAGTGTATAAATACCTTCTCGGCTGGATTGCATCAATGATTCAACATCCTGGAATCAAGAATGAAACAGCAATTATTTTGAAAGGACTTCAGGGAACAGGTAAAAACAGATTTACAGATATTATTTCTGAACTTCTCGCTGGTTATTCATGTAAAAACATTACTGAAATAAGTGAGCTAACGGGTAATTTCAACTCAGTAGTTGAAAATAAAATGTTTCTTGTACTTAATGAACTCAAGAATGTAGGTGAAGATAGACTCGCAAACTTCAACGCTTTGAAATCAATTATTACGGATAATGAGATTAGAATTAATGAAAAGAATCAACCCAGAAGAACAGCTCAGAATGTTGCCAATTTCATTTTCGTAACTAATAACGTCTACCCCGTCAAAATTGAAGTTGGAGACAGAAGAGACGTAGTTTTAAGGGTTAATGGTAAATTCAAGGGTCAATTTGATTACTTCAAGAATTTAATGGATTCATGCACTAAGGAATTTTATGATAATTTACTGACGTATTTTATGCAATATGACCTTTCATCATTTAATGTACGAATCATACCGATGACTGAAGCCAAACAAGATTTAATCGAGTTATCAACAAATCCTTTAGATGAATGGATAAATACACATTATGATGAATTGAGTGCAGGTATGACATGTAAAAATGCGCTATTCTGCAAACCATCAGACATGAAAGACAAGAATTTCCAAATGAGCATTAAGGATAAATGTGATAAGAAACAGGTAAGAATAGATGGTAAACAAACATGGTGTTATGTTTTGAAAGAAGAAATGAAAGGATTATATAAACAGGTTGAACCAAACGATAATGAGGATTCATTTACTGACGATGAAATACCTGTAAATGATGCTTTATAAAGTATGATTGGAATTTATTTTTGCATTAATCCTCCTGTGTTGTCAAAATGTCATGTTGTCTCATTTTTTCAGAGAAGTTAATTAACCGAGTGACACATGGTGACGTAGTGACACCTTCAGTTCTTCAAAAATAATTCATAAATGCCTTCCTCATTAATCCTGTGATGTTGTCAAAATGTCATGTTGTCTCATTTTTTCAGAGAAGTTAATTAACCGAGTGACACATGGTGACGTAGTGACACCTTCAGTTCTTCAAAAATAATTCATAAATGCCTTCCTCATTAATCCTGTGATGTTGTCAAAATGTCATGTTGTCTCATTTTTTCAGAGAAGTTAATTAACCGAGTGACACATGGTGACGTAGTGACACCTTCAGTTCTTCAAAAATAATTAATTATTGAATAACCTGAAACCATTAATGAAAACATTATTTTTGGGTCATTTACACTCATTACGATGAAGTCATGACAAATCATTTCCGGGACTGTTGTCAAAATGTCATGTTGTCACAAACTTTAGAACGGCATAATTTAAATTTTTATTTTTATCATAAATGGATACCCCACAAGCTCAAAATTTACCACGAATCATAACAAGGGAGGAAACGATAAAAATGATGCGAGAACTTGCTAAAAATAACAAACCACTAAAACTGAGAAAATGTGGTTATGCAGTAATGATGGAAAGAGAGACGTTGTCGAAGAGGAATAAAAATTAAATTTGGATAGAGTTTAAAAATTCATCTTTATTAAATTCATCTCTTCCAACCAATTTATTTATTCTATTAAATTCTTTTATTTTTGCTTCACTCAGTTTAAGGATTGAACGGTAAGTTTCTAATTTTTCGATTATTTCTTTCCTCTCTTTATTGTTTTCAACCCCACCGCATTGCGGCTTCTTTTTGTAATAGCATATTTTTGATTTAATTCTGTTTAGTTTCTTTTTATATTCATTGTCTGGACTCTTGACTGCTTTGTTGTCACTCATTTCTTACGAAATAAAAAAAATTAAATATTATTTAAATATAATGGAGTAATAAAATAAATCGGAATTTCTATTAATTTATTGTCAACTTCAACTAATGCATTACCGTTAATATATCTAACAAATTCAGCTATTGTGTCAAATCTTCGTCTTCTTTTTGTCATTGATTTATCAGTTTTTCCATAATCGAGATGAATTAAAACTTTATTTCCTTGTTTAAAATTCATGAGCCCCGAATTAATTTGTTCACGTTTAACATCATTCAACCTTTCCATTTGCTTTCTAATATATTCCCATTCTTTTGAAATATCATTTTTCATTTCCACCGGTTTCATGTTTATTGTTCTATGCCATGTATTATTATAATAATATACTAACTGTTGTATGATGGAGTCATGATTTCCATCCCAGTATATCTGACCGTTAACCCCTAACGCATCTCTAAGAGTTCTCATTACTGCATCAACTATTTTATTATGAAACGTATATGGAGAGGATGAAAAGAAAAAATTAATTTGTGGGAAATAATGAATCATAGCTGCCTGAAATCCTTTATCACCATCACCCCTGATATTATCTACTCTTTCATGATCTAGTAAGTATTGAATAGCTCTTCGTGTTTCCTGTTCTGTTTTCCCTTTCACTGGAATGCAATATAAATATCTAGTGTTAATGTTAATGGCAAATAAATAAGTAACGTTTCCTTTTGAATATTCCAGATGATCGATTTCGTATGAATATGGATATGGTGCAAATGAAGGGCGACTAAATTTTTCCTTTAACGGTTGAATTTTCGGGTCAATTGGTTTATTTAATATCTTGAAATCCTTTTTAAAATCTTTTTGCTTCTTAAATGTTTGAAATGGATATAATAAAGTGAATGATGAAGGATTAACTGAAGGAGGAGGAGGTACTGTCGTTGGAGGTTTTGGTGTTGCAAGTGGTTTAATTTTATCTGCTTTGATTTTGGATTTCATTCCTTCCTTCATTAATTCTGGATGTATTCTATTCATTTGTTTTAAATATGCTGTATATAAAGGTTTGATATACTTTCCCACTTCGAGTTTATGTTGAAGGATGAATTCCAAAAGTTGATCTTCATTTAAAAGTCGGGCTGAATATGGTTTAACTAATGAATCATAAATTAAAGCTTGTGCATCATTTATGGTCTGAAGGACCTGGGCGTTTTGCACCTTTGGTTTTTGTGGCTCAGGATTATATAATTTATATAATTCATCAATATCTTCTTCTGTTAATACTTTATTTTTGAAATCTTTCAACTGTTTAAGCTGTGATTTAGTTTTTCCCTTTATATATTCATTATTTTTAATTTTGTCTTTAATTTCAGAAATTATTTTATTATGATATTTCAAAATTTCATTTTTATAATATGGATAATAATATTCCATATCATCACCCGTTATATTATTATTATATTTTTGGAGATATGCTTTTAAATCATAATAATTAAGAAAATTTTGATTAAATACTAAATCATCAATTAAAATTTTTAAATCTGTGTTATTCATTTATATAAAAATAAAATCAATGTTTTAAGGGTGCCCGCCTCTTTGAATCATAGTATCAAAGCCATCATTAACGGTTCCTTTTGTCTCTTCTGTGGCATTTCATTAAAAATAAAAAATAAATTGTATTAAATAAATGGCATACAACATCCATTTTCACAACATACAGCCTTAGTGTGTGCTCCTGTTAATGCAGTCTTACCAATTGTTAAGCGAGTCATTACCCCGTTTTTAAGTTGTAAATTAATATTCTGACCATCAAATATCACTTTATCATTTATTATATCTAAATAATTTTAAGGTGTTAATTGTTTATTTTGTCGTAAACTAACTCCTTTCATTTTTTGCGCAATCTTTTTAAAATCACTTCCATCAATTGAACCGTTGAATGATGTATAACACTTGGGGCATAAAGCAACCATGTTATCACCTTGTTTCTCAATTGCTAAACCCAATAATTTTTTCTCATGTGCTTTTTCTTCAGCTTTATTCTTTAATTTAGGTTTAAATTTCTCATCAAAACAGAAGAAATCAAAAGGTGCGAATTTGAAAATGTTTTTATCATAAAACTGTTTATCGGTAACAATTGCTTGAAATGCTTGAGTGTTAGGAAGATTTGGGTCGCCAGCGATTGCCCAATAAGATGAATCAGTATCACCTTCAATGAAATGAAAACGATTAAGATTCATGCATTTATACATAAAATCATAAATGAAAACCAAATACCAGTATTTAGCATTATCTAAAGTGAAGAATGCCTCTTGTAAACATGTTTCACATCTATAAAATCTATCTTTAAGCATCACTTGATATGTATCCTCTCCTATTTCTCTTATGTTTTTAAACTTATTTGACATACATGCAACGCGTGCCTTCTGTGCATTCATTATTTTAGTCTTTGCGTAATTTTGTGTATTCATTGCATCGTAACCATATGATCCATTAAGTGAAATCTTGCAAAATAAACTTTTTCCTTTATTTCCTTCTAATTCAGCCTTTTGTCTTTCGTTCATAAATTCATTCGCAAATTCATTAAAACAAGTGTTTTTAGTAAATGTTAAAATTGATTGAATATCATCGATGATAAAATGAAATCTGTCGATTAGATACCAAAGATAATAAGAAGAAAATGGTTGATATTGGTTGTATGTTGATGCTAGCTGAGTTAATTTTCTTGTTTCTGGTCAACTGGTAAATTGTTTGATTTCATGTAATTATACATAAAACTACCAATTGTTTTTTCATCTGTGATAATATCTAAGTTTCTTATTATCGGTAAAAAGTTTATGTAATCATTAATGTATTTTTCATCAATGTGACCCTTTACTTCAGCCACGAATAAAGTATTTTTCTTCTTAATTATTCCCAGTGCTTTTGCTTTCTTTGTTGCTGTATCACAAATGATAACACCATTCAATCTTCCCGGCATATACATTTTATGGTCAGTATATTGAATGAAATCATGAGGATTAGATGAAAATGATGAAGGATATAATGAATTAAAGTCAACTCCAACGAAATGAGTCATAATGTTGGTGGTGTCCTCATTTAATACAGTTTTAGTTTCTGGATTATATGAAAGTTTATTAATGTGCGTGATTCCTTTAAGATTAACACGATGTTGAACATTTGATAGACCACCAGTAATTCCATTACGGAGAATGTGATAAGCTTCAACTGAATCTAAAGTCATTGGTAAATTATTTTTTAATGCATAATTTCTTAAATTGATTCTTAAACGTTGAACATCTTCATCTTTATTTGATTTTACGACATTGCAATAACAACACATTAACTGACAATTTTCTTTGGTATGTGGTTTTTCATTATCGATTCTATCCAATGTTGGTTTATTTACATATGTAAACGCTTTACCACACATTTTGCATTTAGCTGAAAGGATTAAATCGTGATAGTATTGAAAATCATCCATTGAAACATTGTTTTTGGTATCTCTTTTCGCCTTTTCATCTTGTTTCTTATATGAATCAATTTTATATTTCCAATACTTTTTTGTTAATTCAAAACTTGATTCCACATTTTCTTCTTCTGGATATGTTTCGTTAGGATTGAAGTTCTTATATGCTAACGCGTAACGAATCATTGATGCATTCGATGATAAAGAAAGATTATGAAGCATGTCAATTTTATAAACAAATGTTTCTTCGATAATTTTATCAATTGGGTCAATCATAATTTCAACGTCTTTATTGCAATAATGAATAAAATATTCTAATCTATTCTCAAAATTTTTAGCATCATTGAGATATATTTGATAATCTGAATCGGATATTGTTTCTTGTGTTAATGCTGAATAAAATGAATCTTGAGTGAATGGTTCCTTTTTATATAATTCATCTTCGTAATTCTCCCATGTGATGAATTGATAAGGGAAAAAGGATTTAACACGTGATTTATTGTTTCCGAAATCTTGAGTGAATTGGTCTAATGTTCCACCCGCTATATAATTTCTGATGTCAATAAATCTTAATTCATATGGACAGTTTGTTTTCTTTACTATGACTTGCTTAAATTGAGAAGAAGAACCCAGCATTGATTTTATCTTCCATTTTGCAGTATTTAAATCACGAAGAATTAAATTTAAATCAAACTTTCCCGAATTAAAACCAATGATATTCACTTTATTAAATTCTTCATCTAAAAGCTCTTTCATTGCTTCCTTTTGTTTCTCATTTAATGTATTCATTAATTCTTCATATTGTTCAATATTTGATTTAGCAACTAATGAACAGGTTGAAAATAAAAATTCAATCCAATCAGAGATGAACGAATCACTTGATGTTAAGCAAAAATTCCTCGTAAATGTTTTATCACGGTCTACGTCCTCGCCGCTTTGCGGCTTTATTTTGACAGTTGATGATACCATAAATGGTTTTAAGTAAGCGTTCAAAGTTGCACATTCAGAAAGTTGAAGTTCTTCTTTAGTCTCTAATGTTTCGAAGTCAAAAGTAATATAATATCTTGTTGGTTTATAATATTCCTGCAAATTATGTGCTAATAGCCATTGATATATCTTCTGTTTCGTGATATGTGGTGCATATGGTTGTTGTGTGTTTTGCAATTGAACGTCTTGAATTAATCTTCCATTATTTTCTTTACATTTCTCACAATGTTTTAAAAATCTTCTTTGGTTTTTCCTTTCTGGATCATCACGGATAGAATATACTTCTTCTTTGCAAAAGGGGCAAACTTTATATCCTGTGAGTGCTTCAACGTCTGTAATTCTGTCAGCGTGAAGTTTTCCACATGGACTCTGTGTTAATAAAATATTTACTGTTTCAAATTCTGGATCTATCATTATTGAATCCACTAATGGAAAGTCTACCTTGTTAATGTCTACGTCTTCTGGTTGAGGGTCACAATAATAAAAATCAATATTAACGTTTAACATTCTTGCTAACCTCTCACTTTCTGATGAAATGTCAAATCCTTCATATGCATCTATTGCTTCATTTAAATAACTTCTACGAGTTTTAGGATTAACACCATCAGGAATGTTATAGAAGCGTTTAAATAACCTTCTACCTTCGGCTCTTATTTGATTATCATTCATTTTAGCTGTTCCATTTTTATTCATTTATGTAAGAATAAAAATTAAAAAAATAAATAAAAATAAAGTTTATTTTTTAAAGCCCATAAAATGAATTAAGAACACATAAATTTTTATCATCTGCGACGTGACGAATACATTTTAATTTACTCAAGAATGCGTACCCTGATACATTAAATCTAATTCCTGTCTTATTTAATTTCACAACTTTGAAAAGGAATGTATGAATAGCTATAAAATGATGAGAAGATGTTTTATGGGTTGCTTCCATTTTTTCTGAAATAAATGAATAAATATAATGTTTATAAGTTTTCATATCTTTTATGTTCTTAATAACGAATGGTATAGACCTTTCAACTTCGTCTTCCTTCGGTGCTGTTCTTTCATATGAAACATTATTGGTATCTTCAATAATGAAACCACAATCACACAAAATTTTATATGTTCCAATGGTTTCTTTTGATATTTTATCTAATAAATCAAAAACTTTATCAACACCTGTGCATTTATTTAAATAATAATTTGTGTAAATATAGGGTGTCCAAAGGTGCGTTTAGCACAGCGCTCTATATGAGACTATTAAAGGAGATATATGCTGATTATAAATATATAATAAAAAATATGAATATATGTATATGATGAGTATGTTGTATTTTGGCGCCATGCCGGGATATAAAATGAATTTTGAGACAAGAGGCGGTTTCGCGGGAAATTTTGGCGGGATTTTTTCATTTTTTTAATGAATCATAAAGAAAACATCCTCGCTCTTGCAAAAAAATGCAAAGACTGTAAAAAAATCTACGAGACATTGGTAAAATGCTTCGGTATGGATGCTCCTAGCTATTCCACTGTAACGTATCATGTTAGGATGTATCACTTCATGAACAAAAAGGCGCCCATCATAAAAATTGACAAAAAATCGCCGGATCAAAGAAAAATCAAAGCAATTCTTCAAGCGCTAGATGAAGACCCAAGAGCATCACTCAGAAGGATAGAGGAGATGACAAAGATACCACGTACAACAGTCAGTTATTATCTGCACAATTATTTGAACTACAAACTAGCGTATACACGTTGGGTTCCGCACAACCTTAATTCAGTTCAAAAAAAATCTAGAGTCCAATCTTCGAAAGAGCTCCTCTCTATATTGGGTGCGTATCAATCCAAGAAGTTTCGCTTTTTAGTAACAGGGGACGAGTCTTGGTTTCAATATGCAACAGAAGCCAAAATCATGTGGATCCCGAAGGATGAAAATCCGCAAACATTCCCGAAGAAAAAAATTGACACACCAATGATGATGTTGTCGGTTTTTTGGGGCGTGAATGGCATCATCGCAATTGATATTCTTCAAAAACCTAATACGATGAATGCTCAGTATCTAATTGACAATGTTCTTACTCAAATTATCAATTCTGATGAGTTTGAGAAATCCAAACAACAAAAACAAAAGTTTGCAATTCATTTTGATAATTCAAGAGTTCACAAAAGTCATAAGGTAATGAATTACTTGGTGGAAAACAATGTCAAAGTTGTTCCAAACCCAATTTATTCACCTGATATTGCACCCTCTGACTTTTATTTATTCGGCACGCTAAAAAAGAGAGCTGAAGGACGCGAATTCGCGAGTCCAGATGATCTTGAAAATTTTGTAAGAGAGCAATTTGAGCAATTTTCTCATGATGATTTAAAGCGTGTCTTTCAAGCCTGGATCGATCGCTGCGAACGCGTGATTGAATCCAATGGTGATTATATTTAAATAAACTTTATATATATGTAACTTGTTTATTTCTATTCGCAGTATTCAGGTTTGTGCTAAACACACCTTTGGACACCCTATATCATGATCTTCTTTCTTAATCGTATTAGTTGCATATGTTACATTTTTCAGTGCTTTTTTGAATTTTTCAGAATCAAGAGGAGGTGAAAGTAATATACATGGATAATCTCCATCGTCAATAAACTGAAGCTTATGTTTATGAATAAATTTTGTGCCTTCTTCTGAAAGTGTTTCGTCAATATCACCATCTAATAAATTTTTAGTAGATTCCAAAAAGTAATTTTTATATCTTTCCTCATGTGATTTTTGAACTTCTGATTCTGAAGCTGGGATATTCATTAAACCCTCTACTTCATTCTCAGCATTTCTCAATTCACTAATTCTTTCATCTATTTCATTTCTTAATTGTTCCAATTTCTCAATCTCATCGTTATAATATTCATCTTGTTTAATTTTTTCTTCAAAATATTCAGGAGGTGTTTCAAGGCTCTCTGAGCCCAGGTCCTCTGGACCATAAAGAGGAATATTCTCCTGTTTTTCAACTTTTTTGGGATATAAATATCTCATTATAGCCTTTTTAGTAATTGGTCCGTTATATTTAAATTCATTCAACAATCTGGAAAACTCTTTCACATTCTGCATATATGTTGGATAAGAACCGTCTCCAAAATTTTCTAAAATATTTTCTAATTCTGAATTAGTGAACTTTAAAGATTTCAATGAATTAGTTGTTATACTCATTTATTATAAAATAAAAAATAAAAAAAATAAATTTAACTTAGTTTTAATTTTACGTAAGAAGTCAATTTTTTATATACTGTCATTTGTAGGTATTATTTCTATCAGATAAAAATTATTTTTCTATTTGTCATCTTTATATAAAGATAAAAAATATTTTTGATTAATAAGGAATTAATTTCATTTTATGTCTTATAATGTGCGCATATGTATTTAAAAGGCATTCATTGAATTGCTTTTCAATCTCTTTCTTTTTTTCATCTTCGAATATTATATCATTTTCATGTTCGAAGCTTGTAAGTTTGTTATCTTCAAATATTATATTAGTTTCATATATCAAATTATGATATCGGTCATATTCTTTTAAGTGATAAATAAATACAAAATTTACGGTTCCTTTAATTTTAAATTCAAAATTAATTTTACAACAGCTTTGTGGATCAATTAGTAAATCAATCAAATAATGTTCAAAATCAGATATTATTCTTTTTCCATACATTTTATATTAAATAAAAAAATCTAACTTTATTTTGAGTGGGGGACAAACTCGCCCATTGTCACTTTTTCATTAACCTTAAACTTGTAATTTTCATTATTTTTAATTAACCTTATTTCTTTCCCAATTCCTGATTTATTTTATTCACTTACTATTAAAAGTCACATTTTAATAAAATATAATAATTTATTTATAGCATTTTTTACTATACTGTAATAAAAATTAATTATAATAAATTAAATGTTTATTAAATCAAATGTTTTCTTTGCAATAATATTTTTAATGTTGAGTAAACAATGTTGGGATCAAGTGTATCATTTTTCAGACCTTTCTGAACAGCTTCAAGCATACTGATGCATTCGACTTTTTTAAATTGTGTCATTTCTTCGAAATCTCTTGTGACTTTTTTGATAACTTTAACACTTCTCTCTGAATCCAGACCTTTAATTTGCAACTTAATCAGGAATGAAGGAACAACAGTGGAATATAACTCGATGACAAGTTCATCGAGTCGAAGATTTCGCCTTTCTGGGAAGTATTGGTGCTTCAAAACCTTGAAATGTGATTCCGAGATGTTGTTTGTTCCATCTCCTTCATTTCTATAGCGAAGCATCCACCTGTCAAGATGATGGCGCCACTGTTGGTCAAAGTATTCACGGGCAGCAGGTTCCTCATTTAAAATTTCTTCTAAATTGTTGTAAACTTCATCAGGATCAATTTCTTCCTCTTCAGAACCAAAGACCAATAACTTCATTAAGTTATAGAAAGTTTCGAAGTTGGAACGATCTTGAAACTTTTCAGCCTTTCTCATGACAGCGCGCAACACATGAACGCCACACCAAATGATCTGGCATAAGGGGATGGCTGTTTCAACAGCATTTGTGATTTGAGGTGCGCAGTCCATTGAAAAATAAGATGGTTCGCGATTGATGGAGCCAAAATATGCTGTGAGACAAACTTGTATATTTTCACTTGTGTCGGGCCAAACGAAAAAATACAAAAACGGAAAAACAATTGATTCCGCGAATTTGCCAGTGACGGCATAAAATGGTATGCGAGAGCGCAAGAGCTTATAAGTGGAATCAATTATGATCTTTGAAAATTAGGTGAAATAAAACAAAACATAAATGTAAAACTAGGGATATGAAATTTTGGTTGTACACCACTTGTATGTGCCGGATACCATTGTGTCAAATTTTTTCTGAAATTAACTTTAAAAGTACTAAGTAAGATCATGAGATATAGCAATATATGTTTAAACCAACTTATATTTTGGTTGTACACCACTTGTATGTGCCGGATACCATTGTGTCAAATTTTTTCTGAAATTAACTTTAAAAGTACTAAGTAAGATCATGAGATATAGCAATATATGTTTAAACCAACTTATATTTTGGTTGTACACCACTTGTATGTGCCGGATACCATTGTGTCAAATTTTTTCTGAAATTAACTTTAAAAGTACTAAGTAAGATCATGAGATATAGCAATATATGTTTAAACCAACTTATATTTTGGTTGTACACCACTTGTATGTGCCGGATACCATTGTGTCAAATTTTTTCTGAAATTAACTTTAAAAGTACTAAGTAAGATCATGAGATATAGCAATATATGTTTAAACCAACTTATATTTTGGTTGTACACCACTTGTATGTGCCGGATACCATTGTGTCAAATTTTTTCTGAAATTAACTTTAAAAGTACTAAGTAAGATCATGAGATATAGCAATATATGTTTAAACCAACTTATATTTTGGTTGTACACCACTTGTATGTGCCGGATACTATTGTGTCAAATTTTTTCTGAAATTAACTTTAAAAGTACTAAGTAAGATCATGAGATATAGCAATATATGTTTAAACCAACTTATATTTTGGTTGTACACCACTTGTATGTGCCGGATACCATTGTGTCAAATTTTTTCTGAAATTAACTTTAAAAGTACTAAGTAAGATCATGAGATATAGCAATATATGTTTAAACCAACTTATATTTTGGTTGTACACCACTTGTATGTGCCGGATACCATTGTGTCAAATTTTTTCTGAAATTAACTTTAAAAGTACTAAGTAAGATCATTTATTTTTGCATAATATAATGCCAATATGGTTTCTTTTGATTTTATTTCATTTATAAGCAAATCAGATTTACCCAAAAACTCCACTCCATAAGCGTTCATTTGCTAAATTAAAAAGTGACAATGGGCTAGTCTGTCCCTTTCTCACTTTATTTTTTCGGAGTTTTGTGACGAAGTGCGAATCTTCACTTCGTCAAAAATATATTCTTTTTATTAATGGTAATATAGGAATTGTAGGAATAAAAACTTTTTATAAATTATTCATAAATGTAAGACATGAATTTTTAAAGTTTATTTTTTTTATTTTTTATTTCATTATGGTAGTGAATCTTTCATTCATGAAAATAATTATTACTAATTTATTTAATAATGTCGCACATACTAGATTTAAAGAATTCGGAACTTTTACCATAATCTCCTAAATGTTTTCTTATCCCTAACGTGTGCCAGTTATTATATGAAACCGAATAAACTTTATCTTTATCTTTACACCTTTCATCACTTCCAATATATTTATATCTCAGTTTTGATTTAGCATTTTCATATTCATTAGCGTTTAATAATTCGCAGTCTTCCTTTTTAAATAAATGTTTTATGTATTCAGGATTTAATACTCTACGTTTATATGCTCCTAACTTAGTTCTAAAGGTTTTTCTACAAAATTTAGGAATTCCATCCTCTTTAATGTCATCAATGATTTCCATTTCATTATTTTCAATTTCTTCTTCTCGTTTATGAGGTCTTTGATTATGACTCCATTGATTCCATGAAATTAAATATTCTTTATCATTATATTTATACCTCATTAGCTTATTTTGGCTTTCATATTCATTTAATAATTCACAATCTTCATTTTTAAATTGAAGTTTAACCCATTCAGGATTTAAATGATGTTTAATTAATCGCGGAATATCTGACATCATCTATATATAGCTTCTTTTATAAAAGATAAAAAAATAAATTATTTTAAAATTAATGTTAATTTTTTAATGATTTATAAATAAATATATTTTAATGCATCGTCTATATATAGATGTAACAAAAAAAGTCACACAACCCTTCAACATATACTACTCTTTTATATTTGTTTAAATCCTATGTTTTTGTACGTAAATTATATATTGAGTCACAAACTAAGTCGAATGTAACATTAAAATCAGTAATGGGACATTTTATCGAAAAATAATAATATGAGTATTTCTTGCAGTATAAGGTATTAAAATGAACACTAACTAATATATCGATAGTTAGAATTAATCTTAATTTCGATTTTTTTTCTCCGATCTGATAAAAAGTGATAGATCTTGAAAATTAATGAATAGATCAAGGCCCACATATTATAATCTATAAAACTAATGCACTGAATTCTTAGTAAATTGTAAATTGTCCCCACTGTCCAGAGTTCATAATTCAACAGATACAAATAATTAAATGAGCCAATTCAAAACAATCACATTTTTCTAAATGAGACGCCGTTAGAATAAATACTTTTTTGCTTTATTTGGATTCCACTAAATTAATATAGACCTTTCTAAAAATAAAAAACAAATTGAATAGGTTTATTAAAACTAATAAGTTACTTGTTTTTTTTATCTCATTAGTTCATTTGTAATTTGCCTAGTTTTGAGGTGAAGTTAGTGATCATTTAAAATTGCAAATTTGTTACAAATATATCACTAACAATAATACTATTGCTTAACGACGTCAGTCTCAATTTATTTCAATGTTATAAAGCCGTTGAAAAGAAAAAGCTATAGTTTCTCACAAATTTGAAAGAAACACATTTTTGTTTTAGATTGTTCATTTAATGATTGCAGCTCTTTTATTTAGGTTAAGCTATTCTTTTAATGTAAAGAATGCTTTTGATGACTGCACAGACGGTATAACATATAGCTTAGGAGATACGGCTCCAGAAGATTATTCCCAAAATAATACTTATTATTTTCGCTTCGATTCAAAGCCATTTATTTGTCTCGAAGGAAATGGTGTCATAGTTGCCAAAGAAGCAATTAAAGTTGATATTAAATATGGATATTATGAAACAGATAATTCAGGCGTGAAATCTGAGAAGTTTACTGAAGCAGATCCAACAAAGGATAACGTTTTAGTTATTAAAGGCGATGTAACTCATACACCGATTGCCAAAATTTATGCTGGAACTAATACAAATATAGCAGTCTTCAAAATCATGCCATCATTCAAAGATGAAGCATCAGGTATTGAAATGAACTCAGTATTTACATCAACGGAATCTTTTAATTATAATTTCAAATATTCCAAAACCACTTCATCAGAAAAAGCTCTAGCTCTAACAGTAGGATGCCCTCTAAACGTTAAAACAAAAATCAGTTCCAACAATGAAGAAGCAAAAGTAAAAGTCTATTCATTGTACAAGGAACCTGACATGACCTCACCATTTGGCAACGGTTATACCATGTTAACAGTTCCTGCATCTTCAACCAGCACCAAAGCTGAAACCACTTTTAATTTCAAAATGAGATTAGATCCAGAAAATTTTGAAGATCCTTTCACTGCTTTTATGCCAAGACTTTTTGTAGCCATTCCTTATACAAAAGGTGCTTACACATTAGATGAAGTCAAGCAATTCAATTCAACAGTAAGTATTTTGGAACCTGGAACTCCATTTGGCGAAACAGGAAAAGATACAGGAATCCGAGTTGTTTGCTTCATCAACAGTACAATAGATGTAGATTCAGTTGGAATGTCAGATGTTCCAGTTGCTGAAAATTATATATTTACTCTTTCTCGTGATGAAACTCAATGTCTTCGTGGTGATTACGTTTTTGCTTCTAAGAGTGACTTTTCTGCTTATGTTGCCAACTATTCCGCGGACGTTCCAGATAAAGAATTTTCTAAGCCTTTCAGTATTACTGATTTTGTCGAATATCCAATAATTCAACTTAAATGCAAGAGCGATTCCTGCAAGATTCAAGCAATCCCAGTTTTTGCTCCAGGTGAAAATAAAGATGATGGAATTAAAGTTCGTTCATTCTTCACAACAAAGTCATCAGCTGAAATTAAAGCTCCATTGAAAAATAGTGAGGAAGAGATGGTTAGTTTTGGCTTAACTGTTCTAGGAAAATCTGCTAGAAAACTTGAATACAAAGCTGATGCCGATGACGATAAGATTGAACATAAGACTTCAAAGACTTCTGATGAAAAAGTTCATGAATATATGCCAGAAATTAGCGACGATGATGATGAAACAACGATTGATACAACAGTTACAGTTAAGAGTAGCGAAGGCAAATCATCTTCAGAAGATGATGAGATGCTCTTCGATGATGATTTATTAGTCGAGTTACCAATTTATGGTGGCGCTTCTACAAAAGATGAAGTTGATTCCTATTCAAAGAATTCCGACGTTGCAAAGTCAAGCGGTGGTAAATTAGGAGCAGGAGCAATCGTTGGCATAGTTATTGGTGTCCTTGCATTTATTGCAATTGTCATCTTTTTGGTTTGGTTCTTTGTTTTCCGAAACAAATCAGATAACCAAGATTCTGGTTCAGGTGAAAAAGCTTAATTATAAACATAGGTTTTACTTAATTTTTTTATTTCTTTTTTTGGGTCGATTCCAATTCTGTAAATAATCGTATTTTAAACGTACATTTTTATAGCATAAAATAAGCAAGCAATTTTTTTTCACTATTAGGTTCATCTTTACGTTTTGAAGAACTAAAGTCATATTTAGATATTTGCAAATTTTTAATTATACAACAACAAACTTTGATTCTTTTTTTATTGGCCTGTACTTTATCAGATCCGTCATTTTTTTTCGAACGTGCTTTCAATTCAGAATTTGAATCGCACGAAGCATTACATATGCATTTCAGATACTATATTAATATTCATTGAAAAATCAGAGTTCGACAATAAAAATTTTTTTAATAAGAATATCGGTACATAGATACATAACTCCATTACAATCACTAATCCGATCAAGAAATTATTTTTTTCAAGAACGCCGTTGTGATAAAAAATAAAATGTTATTGTTGCGCTGAAATTTGAAAATTCTACTGAAACGATTAGACATATACTTTTGAATGATTTTAACTCTATTGATCGGTTTGGGCTACTCATATAATGTTGAAAATGCATTTGATGATTGCGCTACTACAAAAACTTATCACTATGTCAGCGAAGATCCATCAAAATACATTCAAAATTTAACATTTAAACACGAATTTGAAAATAATCAGGATTTTATATGCGTTGAAGGAAATGTTGTTCTTTTTGCATTGAACCCTGTTAAAGCTGATGTCAAATATGCATATTACGAAACAAATAATAATGAAAAAGTCGAAAAGTTCACAGATGCAGACTCTACAAAGGAAAATGTATATGTTATTAAAGGAGATAATAAATACACACCAATTGCAAAATTATACAAAGGATCAAATTCGCAATTAGTATTAACAAATATCCCAGCTTCATACAAGGTAGAAGAATCAAACATTGAAGTGAGTACTATATTTACGACATTAACTTCTTTCAATGTAAATTTCAAATACTCAAAAACAGCAACATCAGAAAAATCACTGTATTTAGCGGTTTGTACTGCTGAATCTGTTGAAAGAAAAGTCACAAGAAACAATAAAAAAGCATTGGCATATTCTTACTATTTAGATATGGAAACAGAAGATTATCAACCAGCTGGATTCAATATTGCTATTAAAACAGCCGCAGCTCCATCAAATAACGATGTTGAAACAACATTTAACTTTCAGTTTAAATTAGACAGTATATCATTTACTTTTCCTTGGCTGAAAGCTATTCTCCCTGAAGCATTATTTGCAGTTCCATATAATAAAGGGTCATATACCAAAGATGAAATTAACGCTTTTAACTCAACAGTGAATATACTTGAGCCTGGATCTTCATTTAGCGGCAACACAGGTTCAGTTGAAGAGATGAACTGTTCAAGCTATGACACAATATATTCTAAAACCATTAATAAATATTCATTGGTACCAGAAGCAGCAAATCACTATTTTACAATACCAAAGTCCGGACACCAGTGCCTTGTAGGCAATTTCGTTTTCGCATCAGATGGCGAATTTTATGCAATTATTCATAATAACTCCGCAATAACAAAAGATGTCATCTTTAATCAACCATTTTACATTACTGATTTCAATGGAGATCCAGCAATAGAGCTTAAGTGCAAGAGTGACAAATGCAATATTCAGGCAATTCCAGTTATCCCTCCCCATGATGATAATGAAAAGAAGAATTACATACGTTCACTTTTCACAACAAGATCGTCTATTGAAATAAGTTCTCCAATGAAAATTCTTAAAGATGAAAATCGCGGGTTTGGTTTGACAGTATATGGTTCAAAGGCAAGAAAAGTTGAATATTCATCAAGTAAAGATCCCCAAAAAGTTCTCCATGAAAATTCTCAAACCAAAGATGGAAAAGTTCATGAATATATGCCAACAGTTAAAGTTGAAGGAGATGGTGATATATCAATTGATACAACCATCACAGCAAAAATCAGTGAAGATAAATCAGCAACTGAAGAACAAATAAGTCTCTTTAAAGAAGATATTTTTGTCGAATTGCCAATATATGGAGGTGTTGGTAACAGGGAAACAGTTGATGATTACACAAAGAATTCGGATGTTGTCAATTCAAACAATAAATTAGGAGCAGGAGCAATCGTTGGCATAGTTATTGGTGTCCTTGCATTTATTGCAATTGTCATCTTTTTGGTTTGGTTCTTTGTTTTCCGAAACAAATCAGGTAACCAAGATTCTGGTTCAGGTGAAAAAGCTTAATAATAATAAAATAAGTTTTAATTAATTTTAGTATTAATCTTATTAATTTCAATTTTTATTTATTTTGAGAATTCTGCTCATTAATATGGGGTAAATAATAATTTTTGTATTAAAAGCATATAAATTTATTTTTTATTTTACAATTTGATAAATAATTAAATAATTTTTATTGATCGCTGTAATAATCTTCCGAGATATTATCTAATTCATCTTTGTGATGCTTTTTATCCTTTTTCTTTTTATGCTTTTTATCTTTATGGCTTGAATTATCACGATCGCTTAAAATTTCTTCTTTTATTTCTTTTGCTGATTGTTCCGGTTCATTTTCATTGGATGAGTCTTCATTATTTGGTATGCTCTGATCTGGAGAAGCTTCATTGTTTTCATTTTTATCTTCTTCTTCTTCAGCTCTTTGTTCGCTTTGCATCACAATCTCCATGAAAACTTTTTCAAGAGTTGAGCAAGAGCAAGTGTAAAATTTGATTCCAATATCCTTTTTCGTTCCTTTTTCAAGTACATCAAATAGTTTGATTATATCTATATCATCCTTTGGAATTGAATAGATTCTACTAAGTGGTCTTGCAATTGTCAGCTCAGCCGATGGAATCTTTCTTGTGAAGAAATCAGTGACGGCATCTTGCGTCTCTTTCATTGCATCTTTCAAAAGAACATCAACTTTCCATTCTGTACCAAACTTATTTGACAAGTACTGTGGTGTTCCAATTGTATAGACACATCCAGATAACATAATTGAAATAGTATCACACAAATTTTCAGCCTCATCTAATAAGTGAGTACATAACATGAAAGTTTTCTTTCCTTTGTATTTTTCGATTAACTCATGAACATGATGTCTTGCAATTGGATCTAATGAAGATGTTGGTTCATCAACAAGAATAATATTGGCATTAGAAAGGAATGTAAGTGCAACACAACACTTTCTTTGATTACCTCCTGACATATTTTTAACTTTCTTGTCTACATGATCTTCAATATCTAATATGTCAATCAATTCTTTTATAATTTCCTTAGCTTTATCACCTTTTATGCCGTATAAATAGCAAAAGAACTTTAAGTTTTGTCTTCCACTGATATTACGCGTCAAATGGTCATCAAATTGCGGACAGATAGAGATCTTTGTTGGATCATAAAACTTATCAATATTAGAACCTTCAACATCAATTGATCCTGCAGAAGATGCTTCTTGTCTTAAAATGATTTTCATTAATGTTGTTTTACCAGCACCATTACAACCTAAGAATCCGAAAATAGAACCTTTCTTGATACCCAATGACACTTGATTAACTGCATAGACTGGCTTTCCCATGGCATTTGTGAAATACTTTGAAACATCGTTAATACGAATTGCGTAATCATCTGGACTTGAATTCTTGACATTTTCTTCCATATCTATAGCTTCTTGTGTAATCTTCTGTTTGTTTTTGACTTCCTTGAATTCTTCTTCATGGCCTTTCCATCCAAATTGAGCTAATTTCTTCTTAGCTTTTGATGATAATTCAATGATCCACAATACAAACAAATATAACAAAAATGAAACAACCAAAACTATGATAGCAATGCAATTGTATTTATTTCCAGTGATATTTGTTGGCTTTTTCATTGTTGGAATTGCTGCCCATATTGGATAATGCAAGTTATATAAGTTATTAAAAGGAAAGATGCACAATATATCAATGATGATTCTGAATAAAGAATCTTTCAGCTTTGTCTTAAATTCATACAAAACGAAAGGCACACAACCTGTTACAATATGAATCAACATGAACATTACTGATGCGATTGTTTTCTTCTTGAAAACAAATGCCCATACATAGGAATATATTGTGCAAACAATATACGAAGCAATAAATGTAAAGAAAAGATAAACAAAAGAATCTTTCACGGTTTTGATGTTGAAAGCTGCATATAAAATAAAAATGATAACAGAATAAATAATGATTACAATGAAATCAATTATAAAGTTACCTATCCAATATGCAGACTTACGTAATCCACAAGTAATCATGTAAGGCCTTACAGGAGTTCCTAAATCATCGATGAAATGCGTGAAAAGAAATGAAATGTAAATCAAACATCCAATTGCCCAAAACAAAGGATACAGAATTGTTCCATATACATCCATTAGTGTATCTCCTTCAGAAATGTCCTCGTTGTAGATTACATCAGAAATATAATTTATTGAAACATTTGTATTTGTGTCTTCTGGATTAATTGCTATATAAATTGCTTTGTATATCATATTTTGAAACTCCATATTTGAATTGTAAGAGGTATTATAAAAATAACTTATCGACAGATTTCCTGAAGGTACGCTATTTTCGGTTATAACTGCTGAATCATTATATACTTTATAGCCAAAAAGAAGATTCGGGTCTGGATGGAGCAATTTCTGTCTATTTTTGACGTACAAATTTAAATCATCATAAGTATCAAAATCTAACTTAGTGGCTTGTATACCTGCATCTTTTGCCATTTGTAGAAAGATATCACTTATGTTCGAAAAACAAAATCCATCATCTACGCATCCTGGATCTCGAATTCTTGCAAATGATATATTTGTAGCATCTTCTATTGCGCCAAATCCAAATGAAATGTCTATTATTTCTTCGTTGCTTGGAGCGTTCATAGTTTCAAGCCAAATTGGACAACATGTAATAAAACCTGCAATCAATATAGTAATAATAAAAGAAAGAAAACTTTTCCACAATAGGATAGATCTTCTGTATAAGATCCCATGCACATGACTTCCAAAAAGACCCATTTTGAACTGGAAATAAAGAAATGAAAAATTAACCTTCAATTCTTCTCAAAAATTCTATAGGAAACAGAATTCTATAAATTTTTGATAAGAAATTTGGCCCATACTAACAAATGACATCAGAAATATTAGTATTACATATTTGGCAAAGAAATCATGAATCTTAAAACCTTACGAGAAAATCAACAATTATCCACATTATCATCATCACGAAAAAGTGACAATCCGAGTATAACCCTTTTTCGAAAATCTTATTTTTCTTTTTCCGAAAAAAAGACGTGTTAATTACTACTAAACAAAAATATCAACATTATGGGTAGTTTTATTTTCTTTTCAATCAAAACACAATTTAACAAACACGCAATGAGTCTATGATACTATTCGCTATTTTTCGATACAAATTGCCGGAATCTCAAATTATTTCAAAACTCTAACAAAAAATTCAAAAGTTGAAAAGTTTTTCATCACAACTTTTTAATATAGATATTTATGCTTGAGGATATTGATTCCCACGAACAGGAAGAGATAGAACCTAGCAAAGGGATGTCTCAAAAACTCTTTTACAAGAAATTCCTGAGACTTTTGCTAACAATGAAATTCAAAACAGTATCTTTTTATCTTCTTCAAGTAATATCAATTGTTTTGGTATTCTTATGCATAGTTTTATATTATGCATTAATCAAAAAAGAAATTGAGGAAGACAATAGTGATACGACATATGATTATCCGAGTTATAACATAGGAGAGCAAACAAAGTTCTGCCAGTTCGATTATGAGCCAATTGACTATAGTCAACCTTTTCTAGAAAACGTTACAATGGGATTTTATCCTAATAATTCAATTACACAAGAAATGTATGATAATTTAGGATCAACTAGCCAAAACTCAACCTTTTACATGTATAATGACACAGAGGACTACAAAAAATTTTTAGATCGGGCTAGTAGAGCATATTACTCAGTTGAATTTAATGGACCACATAATATCAAAGCATCTGCTGGAATGAAAACAACTAGTTATGATGCAATGATCTATACGTCAGGTCAATATCTCTTTAAGTTGCTATTTGAAAGAACAAATGTTTCATTTTCGTTCCAATCTTGCTCAATCAGTACTAATTCAGATACATTTGCAAATTCTGACTTTCTTGCATTCATTATTTTGATTAATATTGCATTTTCTTTCATTTTTATCCAATCAATTTATCAATTTTATGAACTCAGAAGTTCAAAGATTCTGTTCTTATTAAATGTTTCAGGAGCAAGTGAATTTGTAACATATATGGCATTTTTCACCATCGACTTCTGTTTAATAATATTTTATGCAATTATTACAACAATTTCGGTTTATGTTGGTGGATTGAATTCAAATATAGGGTTTATCTTTGTTTCTATTCTCATTGATTTACTTTGCACTTATGGATTGACAATCTTCATCGCAATCATCCTTGTAAATGAGAAAATCATCAAATATTTCATATTAATTGATGTATTGGCAGGTGCAGTTTATTATGCAATAGCAATGGTTGAACTTTATAATATTAAACCATTCACTCTTTTCTTGGAGATTGTTCAATTTGTTCCTCAAGGTTTCATTGTTGTTTTGATTGATAACATGATATTTGCACAAGAAAAATCATTGAAATTAGGATTTGATAACTGGGAAACAGTCTACCATATGATTCCTACAAAGAGATCATTTTATATTTGTCTCGGAATGATGTTCGCTTTCTACTTTTTGTTTTGGTTTTTCAATTTGATGCTTCCAAGACCAGCAGGAACTCCTCCAATTGGATTTAGAAACTTATTCTCGTGTGGACACTGGGGCAAAATATTTAGATGCGGTAAATCAGCAAGAATTGTTCATGATGAAAGTGAACATTTCATATCAGTGGAAAATATCGATAAAAGATATGGTTTCTCAACACATGCATTGAAAAATGTTTCCTTCAATATCGATGAAGGTGAAATCATTATCTTAATCGGTCCAAACGGTTGTGGAAAGAGTACTCTTTTGAATAGCATGACAGGAAGTATTGATTGCAATAGCGGAAAACTCAGATTATTCGGTGAAGTTGCTGGAGGTGGATTCAGTGATCTGCAGCAATTTCTTGGCATTTGTTTCCAGGAAAATATTTTCTTTGAGAAGATGAGTGTGAGAAACCAGCTCACTTTCTTTGCTCAAATTAGAGGATTGGAAGGCGATAAACTCACAGAAACTGTTGATCATTTCATTGATATCTTCGGTCTAAGCGAGTGTGAAGATAGTTTCGCTACAGTCCTTTCAGGTGGTCAGAAGAGAAAGCTTTGCATTGCAATGGCATTCATCGGAAAACCTGCTTTTGTTATTCTTGATGAACCAACTGCAGGAATTGATGTTACAACAAGACAATTGATTTGGAAGGCAATTTCAAGCATGAACATCACTTCTCTTGTAAGTTCTCATTCTCTTGAAGAAGCTGAATCTGTTTCAAGCAGATTATTTGTCATGAGAAGTGGAGAACTTGTTTTCGATGGACCTTCTAATGAATTGCGTCGTAAATATCATTGCGGATATAGATTGGCTCCAATGTATAACTTCCAAGGAGACACACAAGAAATGAACGACAGGATTCTCGAATTCTGTAAGAAGGAAATTGAAGATGTGATAAAGTTCCAACTTTACTTAAGATGCTGAAAGAGAAAATGGAAGATTTCAAGATGTATGACTTCAATATCATAGTCGAACAACTTGAAAACGTTCTTTATCGTATATATCAGGAAGATGAAGTCAAAGCAAACGAAAAATAATCTTCATTAATAAAAATTTAACTGTCATGAAATATTTCATTCTTATTAACTATCTTTTTTGATTTTTATTAGTTTTTTTGTGCGCTTCACGCCAATAAATTTCGAGCAATTAAATTTTTTTATGAGTGAAAACTCAAACATACCAGAAAGAACAAACCCATTAACACCACACATCTTAGTTGGAACATATGTTAATTGCATTCATACAGATCCAAGCTATATTGGCCCTAAAGAAATTAAACAATCTCAAACAAGTCCACTTGTTCAATTTTTAGCAAATAAATCATATGAAAAACGCGATAAGAAGAAAGGCCCAGTTTGTGAGCCATTACCATTAATTTAATTCCCTTTTCTTTTTCCATATTTAATATTCGTTTATAGAATCTGTATACATTGCTTAGAACATTCGCAAATTTTATTTGAACCGAAGCCAAATCCAAAGCGAAACTTTTCTTCTGATCTTAATTTTAAAAGAAATTTTATTTCAAATTCAAATTCTCTTTATATTAACAAGGGAGCATTAAATACTAAAGGAAAAAAGGAACATCCCATAATAAAATGCAAGGTCCTCAGTAATGATTTCAATTTCCTTTCTAAACTAGTCATTTGGCCAACGAACTTATCCTCAGCCTATGAGAGAGCTCATGCATTTTAAATGCGTACATTACATTATCGTAAATTACTTTTGTAAATTTTTTATCATCGATTATTTTATACAGGCATTATTTTATGCCTTTTATATTCATTTATAGTAGCGCAAGATTGAACTTATCAAATTGTAATGGTCCTTGATAATGATAATTTCGATTCTAAATATGAGTACTCTTATCAGGGATTTGCATAAAATAATTCAATCACTCTAACAATGTTTATGAAAAATACATTTGAATAACTGGCTCAAATCGAAGTTGTTTGTCATCTCAATGATTAAACCAACATTTTTTGCCTAAGTCGCAAAATCAAATTCTCTCCCAAACTTGGTAGTGACGTAGAATGCATTCCAAACACAACATGCCGGATTATTTATATATGACTTTTTGAAACCAGTGTAAAATCAACAATTATACATAAACCAAAATATGCACCTCTAATGCAGCACGGCCTCGTAGAAATGGGAAGTTTTTCTTTTGTAAAATTATCTCTCTCAATTTTTTTGAGATTTTTCAGACATTACATCACGCCATCAGGTTTTATAATATTTTCCATATATATAATTATAATCTTAAAAATCCGCATAAAATATGAATAAAGCACATAAGATTTTAGCTCCACTCGAAGAATATTTAGTAAAACTTGAAGATTTCACCATGGATAAGCGTATTGGCAAAGGTGGTTACGGCGAGGTGTGGTTAGCCACCCATAATAGGACTGGGCAAAAATGTGCCGTTAAAAAACTCTTCTTGGAAGACCTAGAAGGCCAGAATTTGAACTTTTTCGTTCGCGAGGTTACAATTTTGGCTAGTTGCCATGATTTCTTCCTTTTACCATTTATAGGATTCACAGATTCCTGCCCATTTACAATTGTTACAGAGTTTGTTCCTAGCGGATCTCTCTTTGAAGCATTACATCACAAACATGGCGCTCCCACTTTGAGCGCAAGCAACAAAACTCTCATTGCAATCGGTATTGCACATGGCATGATTGAACTCCACAAGCAAAATATTATACATCGTGATCTTAAATCACTTAATATCTTACTTGACGATAGATTGCTTCCAAAAATTTGCGATTTTGGTATTTCAAGATTTGGTAACCAAGGAGATGATACAATGACAAAAGAAATCGGTACTCCCCACTGGATGGCTCCAGAAATCTTCGAATCCAATCATTATACTGAGAAAGTCGATGTTTACGCTTATGGAATGATTTTATGGGAAATGCTCACCGAGTCTGTCCCATTTAGAGGCCGCACAGCCATACAGGTCGCAACAGCAGTCGTTACAAAGAACGAAAGGCCGCCAATTCCTTCATCTTGCCCAGGAACTTTGCGCAAATTGATCCAACTCTGCTGGGATCGCGATCCTGAGAAGCGCCCCTCATTCAAACAGATATACAATACATTCTGTGACAGGAAAGTCATGTACAGAGACACAGATCCACGTTCAATTGCCGCAATTATGACATTAATCAAAGAACAAGAGACAAAACAGCAAATCGATCCTCTACAGCATCTCATCAGTCGTCGCGCTAAGAGTTCTGCCCCTAATGCTCCTGTAAGAACTCGAAATCGAGCAACAACTGTAAATTTCAACGCAGCACCAGTCACAAACTTCGAATACCCCAACTCTCCAGGTTCCAATCCATTTATTAACCCACAGGAAGCCCCTGTTATTCGCAAACCGATTAGACAATTACCTCCTCAAACAGATCGAGCTCCCCACGGCTTGGAAATACCACGCGGCAACTCCCAGCCGTATATTGCTAATAACAGCATTCCTTCCTCCCGTCAACATCCTTCTCCGACCGGTCAAGGAAATTCACAACCTTATTCTCAGCCAAACAACGCTCCTCTACCCAACGAAGCCAATATTTTCCTTAATAACGATCCATTGCCACCTCCTTCCCGCGCTATCAACAACACAAGCTCTAATTCACAACCTCATTCAAATCATCAGCCGAAATCTTCTCGATACAGGAATGATTTATCGAATTTCCAAGCTCCTGACTTCCCTCAGAAGCTCCACCAGATCATAACTACCCTCACAATCGATGAATCTCCAGAAGTATTTCGCATTTTGGCTCCTTACTTGAAACCATCTGTTCCTATGCAGACAACAACCTTAGTTCTTAGTGAATTAGTTAGTTTGTTCCGTCGCGACATCTCCTTCATCATTCCTTTCTGCCAACAGAACCTCCACAACGAATTGCCATTTCATTACCAAGGATTTATTGTTTTTGACGCCGAAATCATCTTCGTCGCCATCACCCAGAACATCACACTTGTCAACCAGAACATTATGTCCTCATTGGCAGCTTGTGTCGCCTCTTTCCCAGAGCAGATCATCAACGTTTTCGCAAAATTCGCATCGAAAATAACCGAAATGTCAGATTTTGTTGTAAACATTTTGACAATTCTATTTTCGATGAGGAATGATTACGCGAACATCCGCTTTGCATTACACTTTGTTCGTATCATATATAACTTGTACAAAGACCACCAATGGTTCCGCGAAATGTCGGCAAATGATGTCGGAAACGTCATTCTCCAATTTTTCTCAAATTCAGATGTCCAATTATTAGTAGAGTTGTACAATTTCGCGATGACGTTCAAGGAATTGAGACAATTCGTTCCATTGGAGAGAGTTGTCACACACATTGGTTATCCACCACTTTCTCCAATTGCGATTTCGTTTTTGATTCATTTGGACAATATCCCGTCATCCAAACGAATTGTTGCAGCTTTGTTGGCACTGGGACCAACATTGGAAGTAACTCTTTTGCTGTGCAGAATTGCGGAACAACAAGTAGGAGCGCAGATCTTGTACGAACACACGGAATGGATGGACTTCCCGGCCAATTTCATGTTCATGATTTTGTCGAGTTTATTCACTGTGAAAGCGTTTAGAAGGTATTTCTCGGAACACCCGAAGTTCCCAGAATTAATGCTCGCAGCATCTGAATGCCTCGATTTGAACGTGAGAATGGCAATCCCGACAATAGTGAGAAGAGCTTCTTTGACAGTTGATTTCGTCATGAAACTGAATCAGGTCAGATTCATCTCGAGATACATTCAACTCAGCAAAGACAGCATCGAAGCAATTTCCGGATGCATAATGATGTGCGACGCGTTGGCAAGAGTCTGCTACGTGTCTGGTTTCGATGATTTCATCCCTCTGCTCCCGTCAATGCTCGCGGAATCAGGAACAGCTCTTCCGTCTCTTACTTTGACTCTCGTTCTGTATTCGCACAAAGAAATGAGAGAAAAAATAAGATTGAGCGGAGTTAAAGAAGTTTTGGTCGGAATGAAGGTAACACCGAACTTTGAACAGTACAGAGCAGTTCTTCTTAATCAGCTGAATAAGGATGATGAGAAGAACTCTTAAGCTTTTATTTCTTTATTTTGTTTATTGATTTCGAAAAAAGCTTTTAAACAGTTTTTTTTAATTCTTTTTTAATGAAGAGTTTATTTGAGCATTATTCAGAAGTAAGTACAATGCACATAAGAATGATGAGGTTTATAAAAGGGCAGCAACAGTTTTGAACATTTTTATTCCCAACTTTTTTCTTCCTTTATCTTTTGCATAATCAAGTGGAGTTTTACCATCATTATCTATAGCGTCTTTATTTGCCCCAATGGATATGAGATATTTAATAACATCAAGATGATCATAATATGAAGCCAATAATAGAGGAGTTTTTCCATATTTGTCCTTTGCTTCCACATTTGCTCCAATAGAAACAAGATATTTTACAACTTCAATACAACCATGTTCTGCTGCTAAACTCAGAGGGGTTTTTCCATCCTTATCCATTTCTTCTTTATTGCATCCAATGGAAATAAGATATTCAACAATATCAATATAACCATAATATGAAGCCATGATGAGCGGAGTTTTTCCATCTTTATTTTTTCCTTCTTTATTAACTCCAGCAGAAATGAGATATTTAACAATTTCAAGGTGACCTTCTTTTGATGCAACAATAATTGGACTGCTTCCATCATCTGTCTCTGCGTTTATATTGGCTCCAATGGAGATAAGATATTTAACAACCTCAAGATGACCATTATGAGCCGCCCAAATGAGTGGCGTATATCCTTGCTCAATCGAATCCATTGCATTTTTATTACATCCGCATAATATAAGTGATGTAATAAGGCTGAGATTTCCTTGCCTAGCTGCTTCAAGTAAAACAATTTTATCAAAACGAAGTCCCTCTTCAAGTGCGATTGCTATAATGATTCTATTTCCTTTTCGAGAGAGATCATCAAGGAAGTTATACGTGTCATAATAGTCACTTGAGTTTTTTATCTCGTCAATTTTTAATCTAATATCAAATGAAACGAAATATCGATCGAATTTATGGCAATGAAATCTTGACCTTAGCACAGAATCATGAAGAGATTTGATAATACTGTAGTAGTTATTTGTTGTTATTATATCTAAGATCCTATTGATTGTATTTTCGCTGCAAACGCCAAAATGAATGTACTCAATTAATGGAATGAATGTATCATTTTCTCCAGTGAGTGATATAATGAAATCTGCAAATAAATCTTCATTTTTTAACTTTAATTTGTCGTTAGTGATTATTTTTTGAATTGTTTCGTATCCGAGTTTTTTGATGATTAACTTGAGTTTAATTTCATCAATTTCGTAGAAATGTGATGAAATAAAATCGATGCAATTTGAAATATCATCAGGAGATGAAATATCTGTATAAAATTCAAGCAATTCAAAGCAATTATTTTTATCGATGATCTTTTTATCAATAACATGTTTTTGATATAGATCTTTTAATTCCTTTATTTCCAGTTCCATTCCTATATAGAAAAGATCCTTTAAAATAGTTTCGTTGCATTCAAATTCAGTTTTGTTACATTGAAGGATATCTTGCAGTACCCTATATTTCCAACTCTTGGAAAATTTTCATGACCCCCTACCCAGGGTCCTAAAATGGGTATTTTCCTCACACAGACACCGTGGTTTTTTGAGCCGGGAAATAAATAGCGCAGACAGTTTCGACATATAGAGACATGCTTATACTTAGAGTTTGACGGGAATCTAAAGTGATTTTTTTCTGCATCGCGAAATCTAATGCAATCTCAAAATCATGAAGAAACTGCGAATCGGAGCGCAATTTTTAATATGTTAATATATAAAGGTACCCCTACTACTGCAAATGCTTCAAATGAAAATCTAAGAAATCAGATTAATTTGATCACATTAGTATAGTATTGGTCAAACCAAAAACTCATATGTTGATATATAGCCTATAGATATTCATATTATCTACTTTTCATTGAATTACATAAGATTTAATAGTCTCATAAATATTCTTTTTAATTTTCCGAATTCCGTGTGCATTTAGATTGCCTATACATGTATATAATAATTCTAGAATGGTTTGGTTAGATATTAAGTTTTTTAGATTAATATTTTAACATTTTGATAAAACAAGCATTTGTTCCATTTTAGAATCGCCATTGAACTCTAGTTTGACTAACATGATGTTGTATGATCAAATAAATTCTAACTTCATGAGATAAATTTTGAAATTAGAAAATGCGATATCTGACTCAAATATTTATCTGAACACATTTAACATTCAATGATAAACTAAAGTACTATACAGCAGATTCGATTTGGCTTATATTTTATATAATCAACAAATAATCCTATAAAATTGTGCTATTCACGTTGCTCAAAGATGTATTGAACATTCCCTACTTGTGTATTGATAAAATTAGATATAGATTCTAATGTAAATCGATATTTTGAAAATTCATATATATTTTGTCTTGGTTTGGCATTTGATCGTGTTGAAACCGGAATTGCAATATATATCATCTAAATATATAACTATCAAAATATGAGCTATAGATTTTTAAATTATTCTCCTGAATATGAGTGACTAACATAATTATATTGAATTGAGTAGTAAGAATCATAAATATTAGAATCTGACGATAATTTATTATAACTTTATATAGGAACAAGATTATAAATGATGATGAAAATAAAGATTAAATTTAAATCTGAAAATTTGAAAACATTAAGTGTATATGATAGCATTACAAAATTAAATTTTATGTGGAAGAGGAAATAGAGGAATTAGAAGTATTATGAGAAAATAATAAGATATAAAAACAAGATTCTATTAAATGAGTTAATTTATAGAAAGGAATAACAGTGTGAATGTAGTAAATGAATGTTTTCATGATGTATTATTGAAATCTTAAGTTTTGTTAAGAAGATAATAAGGGAATCAAATTTTGTATTAGGAAGTTTGACCGACAAGAGTGTATTGTGCACTCTTGTCGGTCTGCATGTCTCATTCCAGGAGACATTGTCACTGCATGTCTCCCAGAATGAGACAATCTTCTGCAATCAGAATGTGGGAACTTTGACCGACAAGAGTGTATTGTGCACTCTTGTCGGTCTGCATGTCTCATTCCGGGAGACATTGTCACTGCATGTCTCCCAGAATGAGACAATCTTCTGCAATCAGAATGTGGTTGCAAAACTTTGACCGACAAGAGTGTATTGTGCACTCTTGTCGGTCTGCATGTCTCATTCGGGAGACATTGCCTCTGAATGTCTCCCAGAATGAGACAATCTTCCGCATTCATAACTTGAATGCGGAAGTTTGACCGACAAACGTGTATTGTGCACTCTTGTCGGTCTGCATGTCTCATTCCAGGAGACATTGTCACTGCATGTCTCCCAGAATGAGACAATCTTCTGCAATCAGAATGTGGTTGCAAAACTTTGACCGACAAGAGTGTATTGTGCACTCTTGTCGGTCTGCATGTCTCATTCCAGGAGACATTGTCACTGCATGTCTCCCAGAATGAGACAATCTTCCGCATTCATAACTTGAATGCGGAAGTTTGACCGACAAGAGTGCACAATACACTCTTGTCGATTTAAATGTATCTTACAATCAAAGACACTTTCATACAATCTTTTCGAAGTTAAAAAAAAAATTAATTATTTCTTTCTTTTGTTTATTAAATCGCCTTACTCACGTACTAATCTCTTTTAGAGACTCTATCGAGCTATCCCACATATAAACCTGTGACAATAATACATATTTACTCTCTTCATATTCTGATCTCATGACACATTATCGCAAAAACTATAATTATACAACACATCTCATAAAGTCTCATTTTAGCCCTATCTAAGCGTTCAAAACCTATTTTCCACACGTAATCTGATTCTTCTGGCTCCGCTGATTCGATTTTTGCTGTCAGATCGTGAAAATATGCATCACATAAAGAGATAAACACAACTCAAAATTATTGCTTTTTTTTTCAAATTGTCTATTCATCCATCTTTACATATTTATTATCTCCTCTGTTTCCCCTCACAAATTCTTTTAATTTTCTGAATAATACGTATAATAAAATGAATATCTCAAAAACTAAAACACAAAATTAATGTTGGAAAATGACTAGATATAATCTGAACTTTTGAATTCATACATTTTTGGAAAAAATTGAATTTTCAAAAAAAGAGCTTATTTAGGTATGAACCTGAAGAGAAATTTTAAGGAAAATATTAAGTTGTGCAATTTGCATTTATCTTGTTATGTGATGCATATTTTCACGATCTGACAGCAAAAATCGAATCAGCGGAGCCAGAAGAATCAGATTACGTGTGGAAAATAGGTTTTGAACGCTTAGATAGGGCTAAAATGAGACTTTATGAGATGTGTTGTATAATTATAGTTTTTGCGATAATGTGTCATGAGATCAGAATATGAAGAGAGTAAATATGTATTATTGTCACAGGTTTATATGTGGGATAGCTCGATAGAGTCTCTAAAAGAGATTAGTACGTGAGTAAGGCGATTTAATAAACAAAAGAAAGAAATAATTAATTTTTTTTTTAACTTCGAAAAGATTGTATGAAAGTGTCTTTGATTGTAAGATACATTTAAATCGACAAGAGTGTATTGTGCACTCTTGTCGGTCAAAGTTTTGCAACCACATTCTGATTGCAGAAGATTGTCTCATTCTGGGAGACATGCAGTGACAATGTCTCCTGGAATGAGACATGCAGACCGACAAGAGTGCACAATACACTCTTGTCGGTCAAAGTTTTGCAACCACATTCTGATTGCAGAAGATTGTCTCATTCTGGGAGACATGCAGTGACAATGTCTCCTGGAATGAGACATGCAGACCGACAAGAGTGCACAATACACTCTTGTCGGTCAAAGTTTTGCAACCACATTCTGATTGCAGAAGATTGTCTCATTCTGGGAGACATGCAGTGACAATGTCTCCTGGAATGAGACATGCAGACCGACAAGAGTGCACAATACACTCTTGTCGGTCAAAGTTTTGCAACCACATTCTGATTGCAGAAGATTGTCTCATTCTGGGAGACATGCAGTGACAATGTCTCCTGGAATGAGACATGCAGACCGACAAGAGTGCACAATACACTCTTGTCGGTCAAAGTTTTGCAACCACATTCTGATTGCAGAAGATTGTCTCATTCTGGGAGACATGCAGTGACAATGTCTCCTGGAATGAGACATGCAGACCGACAAGAGTGCACAATACACTCTTGTCGGTCAAAGTTTGGCAACCACATTCTGATTGCAGAAGATTGTCTCATTCTGGGAGACATGCAGTGACAATGTCTCCTGGAATGAGACATGCAGACCGACAAGAGTGCACAATACACTCTTGTCGGTCAAAGTTTTGCAACCACATTCTGATTGCAGAAGATTGTCTCATTCTGGGAGACATGCAGTGACAATGTCTCCTGGAATGAGACATGCAGACCGACAGAGTGCACAATACACTCTTGTCGGTCAAAGTTTTGCAACCACATTCTGATTGCAGAAGATTGTTCTCATTCTGGGAGACATGCAGTGACAATGTCTCCCGAATGAGACATGCAGACCGACAAGAGTGCACAATAACACTCTTGTCGGTCAAAGTTTTGCAACCACATTCTGATTGCAGAAAGATTGTCTCATTCTGGGAGACATGCAGTGACAATGTCTCCTGGAATGAGACATGCAGACCGACAAGAGTGCACAATACACTCTTGTCGGTCAAAGTTTGCAACCACATTCTGATTGCAGAAGATTGTCTCATTCTGGGAGACATGCAGTGACAATGTCTCCTGGAATGAGACATGCAGACCGACAAGGTGCACAATACACTCCTTGTCGGTCAAAGTTTGCAACCACATTCTGATGCAGAAGATTGTCTCATTCTGGGAGACATGCAGTGACAATGTCTCCTGGAATGAGACATGCAGACCGACAAGAGTGCACAATACACTCTTGTCGGTCAAAGTTTTGCAACCACATTCTGATTGCAGAAGATTGTCTCATTCTGGGAGACATGCAGTGACAATGTCTCCCTGGAATGAGACATGCAGACCGACAAGAGTGCACAATACACTCTTGTCGGTTCAAAGTTTTGCAACCACATTCTGATTGCAGAAGATTGTCTCATTCTGGGAGACATGCTGACAATTGTCTCCCGGAATGCAGACATGCAGTGACAATGTCTCCTGGAATGATGACATGCAGACCGACAAGAGTGCACAATACACTCTTGTCGGTCAAAGTTTTGCAACCACATTCTGATTTGCAGAGATTGTCTCATTCTGGGAGACATGCAGTGACAATGTCTCCTGGAATGAGACATGCAGACCGACAAGAGTGCACAATACACTCTTGTCGTGCAAAGTTTTGCAACCACATTCTGATTGCAGAAGATTGTCTCATTCTGCGGAGACATGCAGTGACAATGTCTCCGGAATGATACATGCAGACCGACAAGAGT